AACTCCCAGCCTCCCAGGGTGTTTACTGTTAACACGGGTGGATTAATTGGGAAGGAATGGGATCCTGAAAGTTGGAATGGAAACATGAGTCCCTTAATGAAGCTGGGGACAGTGAACCCCTAAATTCTGATGAGTCTTCTTTACTAGTAGAAGGATCCTCTCTACCCCCCATCTGAGGAGATTAACCCTGCATTGCTGAGGAAATGGTAATGATGGAAGCAGCAGCCTTGAAAGTCACTGTTGATTCTCCTCAGAACCCATCCCCTCTACCCATCTTTACTTCTGGACCTATAACTAGACTCAAGTCCCAGCAAGCCCCTATAGGTGAATCACAGCACAGGCCCTTAGGATTTTGGAGCAAAGCTCTACTATCTTCTGCAGATAACTACTTTTCTTTTGAGAAACAGCTTCTGGCCTGCTACTGGGCCTTCATAGAGACTGAACGCTTAACTATCGGCCACCATGTTACCATGTGACCTGAGCTGCTTATCATGAACTGGGTATTATTTGACCCAACAAACCATATTTACCCAACAAGTTGTGCACAGAAACACTCCATCATCAAATGGAAGTGGTATGTAAGAGATGATGCCCAACCAGGCCCTGAGGCACAAGTAAGTTACATGAAGAAGTGGCCCAAATGCCCATGGTCCCCGTTCCTGCTACAGTACCTTCTCTCTCCAAGCCTGCGTTTGTGGCCCCGTGGGGAATTCCCAACGATCAGAGCATATACAGAGGAAGAGAAGACTCTGGCCTGGCTTACAGATGATTCTGCACAATATGCAGGCACCACCTGCAAGTGGACAGCTGCAGCACTACAGCCCTTTTCTGGGACATCCCTGAAGGACAGTGGTGAAGGGAAATCCTCCCAGTGAGCAGAACTTCGAGCAATGTATCTGGTGGTTCATTTTGCCTGGAAGGAGAAGTGGCCAGACATGTGATTATATACCAATTCATGAGATGTGGCTAATAGTTTGGCTGGTTGGTCAGGGACTTGGAAGGAATATGATTGGAAAATTGGTGACAAGGAAGTCTGGGGAAGAGGTGGGTGCACAGACCTCTCTAGATGAGTGAAAAATGTGAAGATATTTGTATCCCATGTAATGCTCACCAAAGGGTGATCTCAGCAGAGGATTTTAATAAAGTCAGTAGGATGACCCGTTCTGTGGATATCAGTCAGCCTTTTTTCCCAGCCACCCCTGTCATCACCCTGTGGGCTCATGAACAAAGTGGCCATAGTGGCAAAGGGAGAGGTTATGGATGAGCACAGTGACGTGGACTTCCACTCACCAACACTGTTGTGGCTTTGGCCACTGCTGAGTGCCCAATCTGCCAGCAGCAGAGACTCACACTGATATGGCACCATTCCCTGGGTGATCAGCCTGCTACCTGGTGGCAGGTTGATTACATTAGATCACTTCCATCATGGAAGGGGCAGCATTTTGTTCTGACTAGAATAGCCACGTACTCTGGGTACAGATTTGCCTTCCTGCATGCAATTATTCTGCCAAAACTACTATCTGTGGACTTACAAAACGCCACATCGACTGTCATGGTATTCCACACAGCCTTGCTTCTGATCAAAGAACTCACTTTCCAGCAAATGAAGTGTAGCAATGGACCCATGCTCATGGAAGTCTCTGATCTTACCGTGTTCCCTACCTTCCTGAAGCAGCTGGCTTGAGAGAATGGTGGAGTGGCCTTTTGAAGACTCAGCTACAGTGCTGGCTAGGTGGAAATGCTGGTCTGCAGCAAGGTTTTCCAGAGAGCTGTTTATGCTCTCTGTTGGATGTTGGAGTCAACATCCAATATATGGTGCTGTTTCTCCCACATCTAGGATTCAAGGGTCCAGGAATCAAGAGGTGGAAATGGGAGTGGTACTACTCAGTATTACCCCTAGTGACTCACTAGCTTTTTTCTTCCTGTCCCTGTGATCTTATGCTCTACTGGCTTAGAGGTCTTAGTTCCAAAACGAGAAATGCTTCTATTAGGAGACATGACAATGATTCCATTGAACTGGAAGTTAAGACTGCCACATAGCCACTTTGGGCTCCTCGTGCCTCTGAATCAACAGGCAGAGAAAAGAGTTACTGTACTGGCTGGGGTGATTGATCCTGATTACCAAGGAGAAATTGGACTGGTGCTCCACAATGGAGGTAAGGATGACTTTGTCTGGAATAGAGATCCCTTAGAGTGTCTCTTAGTATTATCATGCCCTATGATTAAAGTTGGTGGAAAACTACAACAACCCAGTTTAGGCAGGACTACGAATGGCCCAGATTCTTCAGGAATGGAGGTTTGGGTCACTCCACCATGTAAAGAACCATGGCCAGCTGAGGTGCTTGTTGAGGGCAAAGGGAATATGGAAAGGGTAGTAGAAGAAGAGAGTTAATTATAAATACCAGCTACAACCTTGTGACCAGTTACAATAACAAGGACTATAATTGTCATGAGCATTTCTTCCTTATTTTGTTACATGTTTTCGTGTGTGTGTGTATGTGTGCATATTATCCATCTATCAAGTAACTTTATTCCTTCTTTTATCCCCTTATCATATAACATAAGATGTTTGGACTTTATATCACAGTATTTAAGTATTGTTAAGTTTACGTCATAGTGTTTAAGTCATGAGATATCAAAGAGAAGAGTAAACATCACCCAAGGAATTTTCATCCTCTTCTGGGGAAAGGGTTAGTGAAATTTTGTTTTTTTGCAGGATAGTTGTATCACATCAGGCAAAAGTATGATCTTCTCATTGTTTTTATTTGGACCTTAAGTATGGTTTAATGAGATGCATATGGGTGGCAAGTTGATAAGCAAAGGACTTGTGATGGTTAATTTTATAAGTCAACTTGGCTGGGCCATGGTGCTTAGATATTTGATTAAACGTTATCCTGGACATTTTTGTGAGGGCATTTTTTTTTTTACATTTTCAAATATATTTTTATTATGATTTTTTTATTGAGGTAACGTTGGTTTATAACATCATATAAATTTCAGGTGTACATCATTATATTTTGATTTCTGTGTAGATTACATCATATTCACCACCCAAAGATTAATTACCATCCATCACCATACAGATGTGTGAATCACTCCTTTCACCCTCCTCTCTCCCCCCTTTCCCTCTGGTAACCACCAATCCAATCTCTGTCTCTATGTGTGTGTTTGTTGTTGTTTTTATCTTCTATTTATGAGTGAGATCATATGGTATTTGACTTTCTCCTTCTGGCTTATTTCGCTTAGCATAATACCTTCAAGATCCATCTGTGTCATCGCAAATGACAAGATTTCGTCTTTTTTATGGCTGAGTAGTATTCCATTGTGTATATATACCACATCTTCTTTATCCATTCATCCCTTGATGGGCACCTAGGTTGCTTCCAAGTCTTGGCTATTGTAAGTAATGCTGCAGTGAACATAGGGGTGCATATATCTTTACACATTCGTGATTTCATGTTCTTTGGATAAATACCCAGCAGTGGAATAGCTGGATTGTATGGTAGTTCTATTCTTAATTTTTTGAGGAATCTCCATACCGTTTTCCCTAGTGGCTGCACCAGTTTGCACTGCCACCAGCGGTGTATGAGACTTTCCTTTTCTGTGAGGGCATTTTTAAAAAGAGGTTAACATTTAAATCAGCGGACTTTGAGTATAGCAGATGGCACTTTATAATCTGAGTGGGCCTCACACAATGAGGTGAAGGTCTGAATAGAGAGCTGTCAAAAAGACTGACTTCCTCTGAGCAAGAAGGAATTCTGTCAGCAGAGGCCTTTGGACTTGAACTGCAACACCACCTCTTCCCCGCGTCTCCAGCCAGCTGGCCCATCCTGCAGATTTTGGACTTGCCAGCCTCCATAATCACGTGAGCCAATTCCATAAAATAAACCTGTATATATATACATCCTATTGGTTCTGCTTCTCTGGAAAGCCCTGACTAACACACTTACATTCTTGAAAAATAATAAAAAATATGAAATTCTTCAAACACATAAAAAGATATAAAGAGTAATGTAAACACTGGTGTTTCCACTCCCAGGTTTAACAACTGCTGACATTATACTATATTTGCTTGAGGTTTGCTTTTCTTAAAGAAATAATGATATACGTAGTTAAATTCCTATTTTTAACCCTTTCTGATCCCACTCTCCTCCCTCCCTCTCGAGGTAATCACTCTTTAAACGTCAGATATCATTCCCATCCATATTTTAATATTTTTACTATAAATGTATGTGTCCAAAAATAATATACATTTTTAGTATTTTTAAAATTTTTTACATACATGGCATCATACTTTACGAGGCTGAATTTAAGACAAATCTGCCTGGGTTTGTATGTGTGTGTGTGTGTGTGTGTGTGTGTTTGCATGTGTTTGTTACTTTTTTTTCTCTACCTACTGCATGAAGTGCACTAATTTGACTAAGTGTCTTGAATCCAGCTGATTCATTCTAACTGTTCTATAGTATTTGTTTGCATATGTAATACATTTGTTTATTTCCCCATTGAAGGACATTAGGCCATTTCCAAATTTGTTATTACAAACAATGTTGCAATAAATACCCTTATACACATATCCTAGGTCACATATAGGGGAGTCCAAAAGGAATCCAGTCCAGAAGGAATCTCTTTTTGAGGTGGTGAAAGTGTTCTAAAATCAGGTAGTGGTGATGGTTACACAACTCTGTGAATATACTAAAAACCACTGAATTGTACATTTTAGAAGAACGAATTTTATAGTATATAAATCATTTCAACAAAGCTGTTATAAAAGTATAGATAAGAATGCAAGGTGACGTGAAAAAAATCCTGACTGCACCAAATACAAGTTGTCTGACCTTGGGAAAGGCATTTGAAAAGTTCTCTTGGCCTCTATGTTCTCATATATAAAATTGGGTAATTATAACATCTAGCTTGTAAATTTGTTCTGAGGATTGCATGAGTTAATATTTGTAAAAGCATTTAGAACAGGGTGAGGGAGTGGGGCTGACACAGTGCTCAGTAAAGATTAGCAACTATTATTATTGCTATACAGCCTCCTGCAACTTTTCACTGTGTTCTCAATGTCCATAATAAGACATGTGGATCTAGTTGATTCAATCTAACTGTTCTGTAATATTCATTCGCATAAGTAATACATTAATTTATTTCCCTATTGAAGGATATTAGTCCATTTCCAAAGTTCTTATAACAATGTTGCAATGAATACCCTTGAACACATATCCTTGGGCATATATAGAGGTGTCCAAAGGGAACCAGGGGGAATTAATTACTGGATCTTGGGTATTTATGTACCGTTTGACTTTACTCCAGATCACTAAATAGCTCTTTAGCAACGTATGATAGTTCTTCTTTCTCTATATCCTCACCAACACTTGGTATGAAAAATTTAATTCTGCAAATATGATAGTTTGAAATGATATTTCATTGTTTGGTTTGCATTTACCTGTAATTGGTGAAATTTGTGCATCTTTTCCTATGTTTATTGGCCATTTGGGGTTCCTTTTCAGTTAACTGTATGTTTAATATTGCATGTTTATATGCTGTATCATGTTTCTATTTTTTTAAGTTTTTTATTAATTTGTGGGCAGCCTAGATATATTCTGGATATGGAATAAAGGTTGACTCTCACATTTTAGGCTTGGACAAGTGTGTAGATTGAATGCTATTTAAACAGACGAAGAGGGATAGTGGAAAACAAGTTTTAGGGGGAATACCAAGACTTCACTTTCAGTCAAATTTGAGATGCTTTTGAGTCATCCAAGAGAACAAGTCTGTGCTGCAGAGATGCATTTGGGAGTTGTCAGCTTATAGATGGTATGTAAAGTGATAGCAATGCACATGGTTATCTCCTGAGATAATTTGGAGTGACATGACAAGAGCCCTACAGAATTACACATTTGGAGAAGGAGGATCCAGAAAGGGATACCGAGATGGAGGACCAGTAAAATGGAGGAAAACTAGAATTGTGCTATATCATGGAAGGCAAAAGAGGAACGTGTTTCTTGTTTTTTTTTTTTTTTCCAATTTTTGTAATGGCTGCATGAGATTTCATTGCATGGATGTACCCTAACTGCTCTTCTATTTGGAATTTGGATTTATTTCAGTGCTTTTTTTTTTTCTTATCATAAACTACACTTTGATGAACTTTCTTATAGATTCATCTTTTTTCACTATTCTGATTATTTCCTTGGGATATGATCCTATATGTAGGTCAAAGAGTATGCCTATTTAAAAGCTTTTACTATAAATTGCAAATCGTCTTCTAGACAGGTTACCTTCATTTATTTTCTAACCAGAATGAGTTTGCCTTTTTTCTCCATTCTGGTGGTGGTGGAAAAGTGGTGAGAACCAGATACTGCATAGCAACATTTTTTAATGGTTGCAAAGTGTGCCATTGTATGGATGTTCATCATTTATTTAGCCAAAATTTATTTTAGCTAAATCTTTTTGCTCGTTCTTAACCTGTTCCTTAGAATAAATTCCTCAAAGTGAAATTGATGAGTCAAAAGTATTTGCATTTTTAAAGCTGTGGATACATATAGACAAATCACCCTCCAGAAAGGCTGTGCTTTTCCCATCAGCAGGGCATGAAAAGGGGCATCCCTAACCTTTGGGAGTTATTTGGAGAACTACATCCTTAATTGCTTCTGTCAGGTTAAATGCATCCAGTGTGACTTTATATGGAAACAGTGCTCAAATAAAAGTTCTTAAACAATACCACCTTTGCACATCGCACTGGGGTTGAGGCCCAAAATCTGAAAGGCTTTTATTCCAGCTACCATTATCTGATCTGTGATCTAAAAATTATTTCCAACATTAGGTTGGTGACGAAGTCATCAGACACATCTCCAGAGGGCAAAGGAGGATTTTTGATGCTAAGGGCTTCAAACAACAGTTGATCCAGTGTGGCCATGGGAGCACTTGGAAAAGGCTGCCTCAGGTTTGAAATCATTTCGGTTGAAAGCTCAGTCTCAGAACCAGCGGGATTTTTGTTAGATTGGATTCACTTTGGAACTTCCAGTTGGCATGTCCTGTTTTGTTGTGGTTTAACGGTTGACCAAAATAGGTTCAGTTTTCGTTGAGATGGGTCTTCTAGCTGCTTTTGACTTTTTTTTTCTGGAAAATAAAACGACAAATAGTGACTGTTGTATCCGCAAAAAGTAAACATTTGGATCAGAATCTCTGCAGACACCCAGTTCTTTCACTGGCAACCGAGTCCTGGCGTGAGATGTGAGCGCTGACTACTCAGGTCTTCAGGACAGCGGAGAGGCGCGGCCAGGGGAGCAGGCCGGGGTTGACCCGGGGTACAGCGCACCTAGCCCGATCCCTCCTCCCACGTCCCGCACCCTAAGCCTGGAGGCCCACCGCCCGAGGGCCAGGCCACCAGGGCGCGTGCACCCACGCAGGACCAGCCCATCTTTCTCTCGCGGAAGGGGGAAGGGGCGGAGCCTGCGGCAGGCCCGCCCCCGGCAGCGGCGCGCGGGGGGCCGGGGCGGGTCTTCCGCCAGGCGAGGAGCTACTTCCGGATCCGGTGGCGATCGGTGCAGGCGCCGAGTGAGGCGGCGCTGGGCTGGTTGGCGGGCTGCTCTGCGCCCCGCGCGGACGGCGATGTTGGGGGGCGGCTTTGGAGCCCGGGAGCGCGAGGCGGAGGGCGACGGGGCGGGAGCTGTGCCTGCGCCGCCTGCCATCGACTTCCCGGCCGAGGGCTCGGACCCCAAGTATGACGGTGAGGGACCCGAATGCTGCGGCCGCCCTCCCCCTGCCCCGTCCACCTTCACTGCTGGGTGGGCAGGGCAGCGGTGAGGTTTGCCTCGGGACCTGGGCAAGTTCAGTTGCATCCAGGCTTGCACCGGGGTGCAGTGCGGGGGGCGGCGGGCGAGCCGTCTGGGTAAGGTAAACATTTATGGAAACGAGTGTCAGCGACTCGCTCGTTTGTTTACATTTCTCTTCCTTGGTTTCCTGTGCGCGAACTCAGGACTTCAGACCTGCTAAGACTTCCTTCGGCTGCTTTCCAGCTCTCAAGCTCTGTGGATTTGTCAGGCGAGAAGCGTGAGCTTGTAAAGTCCTGGAATGGGACTTTGCAGGCCCTATGCGCTGAACAGTTTGGGTTAAGAGTTTTGATTTGTAGCTTCTCTTGTCTTGCTTCACTGATAGGGTAGCTAACGACTCCTTATAGTGAGGCAGTATGGAAATCGCCCTCTTCGGTTTAAAAAAGAAATGCCCCGATTTTCTTGAGCCTTTGGTTATCAGAAGATATGGCAGTCAAGTTACTCAGCATAAAGCGAGAGGTATTTAAAACATTAATTCTAAACAGTGCGAAGTACAATATTTTATTGAAAGTGCAGTAGGCTCTTTAATTGCTACCAGTTGTTTTGGCAATTTTAAAAATTAAATTGTGCTATCAAGAATGAATACATTGAGTCAGGGAGGTTTTTACTGTATGATAGTTTGAATAGGATGATTACAGAGAATACACATTCAGTTGAAGCATGAAATAAGTATTAACATGTAATGGATTTAAAGGTGCAGGATGGGCTAAAAAGATTTTTAATTTATTCCTTAAGTTCTTCGATTTTCATCCCTAATACTACCTATAATTCTTGACCCTAAAGGGAGACAAAAGCGGACTGCGGTGGTAATTTATGTAGGCCATTAACAGAGGAAAGTTGGAAGATAACTATTTTTTAATGGACAAACTTACGTGTATAATATACATGTAAGGTGGTATACTATAGCAGCTTAGTAATATGTAAAGTGTTATGTCGTAGGAAAAGTCCCAGCGACAAACACCCAAATCCGTCTTGTCTGTAACGTGGTGATAAGGTTTTCTGCAAACTAAAGATTATTCTTGAAGGGAGTGATCGAAGATAAGCTTTGAAAAATTTCCTTCCCCTAGGTTACTAATAATACTGTTGTGTTTACATACTGCCTTTTCTTCCAGAGGCCCAGAATGTCTAGACATAATTTATCTTTCTATATGAAAAGTAAGGTCTGTGAAAAATGTAGTTTCATTTTTAGTAGACATAAAAACAGAATAGTTAAATGATTTCTCAGAGGTTGTCAATATGATGTGAGGAGGTCGCTCTGCCAGTTAATGGTAGAGTCAGAAAATTCAGAACGTACATGTGACTCTAAAACCTGTGTTCTTCAGCAGTCTATTGTGTAGGGATTCTCCTAGAGCCAACATCAGCCTTTGATCAAAGGTTCTGTGTTTTGTTTTTTTTTTCCTGTGGAACAGCCTGCATTAGAAGGAGGGGCAACAGTAAGCCTGTTGTGAGACTCATTAGTTTTTCTTCTTTCATCTGACATGGGTTTTTCATAATTTTTACCTCAGATTAATCCTCCAGGTTCCTCTCTCATTCACTAATGGACCACTTGGATCATGCTTTCCTGAGGAGATTGAATTAGGTGATCCCTTTCCTGTTTGTCTGCTCCTCTCCTGCTTGGCAGAAGTCTAGAACTGTAATTCACCTAGGGTCTGTATCTTATTTCTTACTCTTTTATAAGAGGACTTGACCTCATCTTTCCTTTTAGCCACTTTTCCTCTTCTACTCCTGACCAGAACTGTGAAATGGGAAACTTGCAGTTTCAGCCTTCATTTCCTCTGTGTCACTCCCTCCTGTGTTTGAGTGTTTGTTGATTAGTCTTTTTAAAGCTGTCATTTTCTTGATTTATTAGATTCATTCGACTCCACTGACCAACCATTCTTTTTTGTTGTTTTTCTTATTAAAAACTAGAATTTTCTCATGGGAAATTGGAAAGTATAAGAGTATAAAGAAGCAGAAAACCCTCCTAACCATAATCCCACCACTGTTAACAAATCAGTATATTAAAAAAATAAGATTTCACATTACAGAATATGTTGAAAATGTAGAAAAGCCTGAAGAAAATTTAAAAACCATAATCTCATCACCCAGAGGTTACTGTTTACATTTTGGCCTTGCTAGAGACAACTTATTTGATAAATTTTGTGTTTAAAATTATTTGTCAAACAAAGGAATCATAATTGGATTAAAGATTTCTCTCTGATTTTTCCAAATAAGATAAAAATTTAGAGAAATCATTCACAAAAACTCAAGGAGTAAAGGAAAAAGAGGGGAAGGTCGCCTGTACTCACATCCCACATCCCGGAGAACTCACTGCTGACAGTGAGGCTCATTCATTTGCAAATGTTTGCTGAGAGCTGCTGTATGCCAGGTAGATGTCTAGATACCAAGGGTCAAACAGGGAGACTAAAATGGCATGTTCACTGTAATTTCATTCCTTTTACAAATTCTGTCAATATAGCATTGAAAACAGAGGGGCAGAGGTTTTGTCTGTTTTGTTCTTTCCATTCTTTTTGTATGGATATATGGATATAGCTATAAAATAAATATATTTTAAAATTGTGATCCTAGTAGTATGATCAAATAAACATTTTATGTTCTGCTTTTTATTTATTTTTTTATGCTCTGCTTTTTAAATGTGATGTTGTATTAGTATTTTCCTGTGACAGATTAGCCTTTAAAAACATTGTTTCTTTTTTTTGAGGAAGATTGACCCAGAGCTAACATCTGTTGCCAATCTTCCTCTTTTTCTTTTTTTCCCCCAAAGCCCCGGTACCTAGATGTATATCCTAGTTGTAGGTCCTTCTAGTTCTTCTATGTGGGATGCCGTCTCAGCATGGCTTGATGAGCAGTGAGTAGATCCGCACCCAGGATCCAAACCAGCGAACCCTGGGCCGCCAAACTGGAATGCGCGAACTTAATCACTGTGCCGCTGGGCTGGCCCCCTAAAAACATTGTTTTTAAATGTTTTTTTAAAATGGCTATCACATTCTGTACTATCATTTAGTCTTTGCACTATTGTTGGAAAATAGGTTTGTCTTTCTTTTACTATTAGAAATAATGAGTTTGACATCTACATACGTAAATCTTTGTTAATATCTCATTATTTCTTTAGAATGGGTTCACGGAAGTAGGATTTGCTGGGTCAAAGAAATACGTTTCTAAAAAAATGTTTTGATGCATTTTGCTGAAATGATGACGAGAAAGGTTGTGTGAGTTTGTATGCAACTATCTCCAACATATGAAACTGTCTTTCTTGCCTCACTTTCATTAGTATTACTGTTTATAGCTTGCTTCTTTGACTTGATAATGAACTATTTTTGATTGTCTATACAGCATCATTTGTAGCAGCTGTATAGTATTCTATGTATATAACTTATCAAATTTTCAATATTTTAAAGTGTTATGCTGACCATCTTGTACATATATATCTGTGGTGGTTTGTTTAATTATATCCTTGGTATATATTTCTAGAAGTAGAATTGTTGAGTAAAGGTTTGCACATTTTAAATTCTACAATGTGTTGCCAAAGGTTGCAAACACTTTTACCCCCTTGTATTTGAAAACGTCTACTTTTCTATGCCCTTAACAAATACCAGGTTTTAAATAGTTATGAATCTGAGGCAAACTCTGGTACTGTAGTTATTTTAAAATGTATGTCATTAGTTACTAGTTATGTTAAATCTATTTGAATTTTAATTGTGCTTCATTTTCTTATGAGCTTGTAAGAGCTTTATATACATTTTATTACCTTTTCTTTTTCTTGTCATATTTAGTACAGATACAGGTACTGTATCTGATTTTGTGATTCATATTTTAACTGTAAGATGTCTTTTCATAGAGAAGTTTTTACATGGCCACATCTTTTTTTGGCCATCTGTAGGTCAGAGAGGAAACTGGTGAATGAAGTCTGGATTTGAAAACTGATTCTTCCACAACTGTTAGTGCTTTATAGAGGAGAGTGTAATAGAATAGTTGAAATGGGGAGGATTTTAGTAGGTGTAGGATGTATGGTCCCAGTTTCTGCAGGGCATTTCCAATTGAGTGGCTCATTCATTCCTCTGACAGCCCCTCTTACCAATTTTCACACTCATTGACACCTGCATCCTCCCTTTGCTAGTGTTTTTTTTTTTTTTTAAGAGGTACCCGGGGTGCTGTATGGATGGAGGGCGGGACCCAGGTCACGAAGGGGGTGTCCCTGGTCAGCTTCCACGGGCTGTGTCTTGCCCTTTTTTTTTTTTTTTTTTTACATAATTTTATTTATTTATTTTTTTCCCCAAAGCCCCAGTAGATAGTTGTATGTCATAGTTGCACATCCTTCTAGTTGCTGTATGTGGGACATGGCCTCAGCATGGCCGGAGAAGCGGTGCGTCGGTGCGCGCCCGGGATCCGAACCCGGACCGCCAGTAGCGGAGCGCACGCGCTTAACCGCTAAGCCACGGGGCCAGCCCATTTGCTAGTGTTTTAAATCCTGGCCTGTTTCCTTCTTGATCTGTTCTTTCCTCCACATTTCTGCCACTTAGCTCCTTTACTAGGCTCATCCTAACTTCTTGTTGACTGTTGTATGCCTCCTTCCAGGCTACCTATTACATGTTTCCAGAACAGTTTCCTCAAACATTTTTCCTTCCTTGTGTTTTTGGCCTATTTAATAATATATTAAGTAAATGGAGAGTGAGAACTTATGACTTTCAGCTTTTAAGTGCCAACTCAACTGTCTGCTTGATCTTGTGTAGTGGAAACAGGATGGACTTGGGAGTCAGTCTGATCTGCCTGCTTGTAAGTTCCTTAACCTCTCTTCGAGATCAGTGTCCTCACCTGTAACATGAGAATGGTAACCCTTACCTGTTACTGTTTTGTGAGGATTAAATGAAATTGTGCATATTGAACACCTGGTGCATATGTAGCACACGCTCAGAGTAAAGTTTCCACCCTTCCTCCCTTTCCCTTTCTCCTCTACCAAACTTCTTTCTTTACACCTGGGCCTAGCCTGCCCTCTCGAAGGAAGGAAGCCATCCTGTTCCGCTTGCTTGCTTTTTTGCTTGAATACTTATTTAATTTTACTTTTGCATACATCATTACACATCACTACCAGAACTTTCTCCCCTCCCCCAATGGCATCTTCCTGCTAGTGCTCCAGCTTCCAGAATTCAGCTCAAAACTCAGTTCCGGAAATGAGATTAACCCCTCAGCTTCACTACTGTTTCGTTTTTAATATCCAGGTTTCATAGTTTGTGGTTCATTAATTAGAATCTGCTGTTTTGTCATTATGGGATATGTTTACCATTTATTAAAAGTTTTTCCTTTTTTAATTTTTAGAATCTGATGTCCCAGCAGAGCTTCGGGTGTTCCGAGGACCCCTGCAACAGCCGGCTTTCCCTTTTGCTGTTGCGAACCAACTACTGCTTGTTTCTTTGCTGGAGCACTTGAGCCATGTGCATGAACCAAACCCACTTCGCTCAAGACAGGTGTTTAAATGTTAGTAAGAGGAAATGTTGCTAAATAAAACTTGTGAAAATACTACGTCGTTGAATGCTGTGGGTCTGAGAAGCAGCTAGTATATAAAAATTTGAAATAAGTATTAGTAGTTTACGTTTTGTAAATTCATTTTTTATTTTCCTATAGGTAATTCCCTATGAGTATAATCACTGGGGACTCCAAAAGGTTAACAACCATAAAATTGTGTGTATTTAAATAAATGAAAGATAGTTATTTTGCATTTATGACGTGATAATTCGTTTGATTTTTGAAGATCTGTTATGGTTTAGTCGATGAGTAGATAAATGAAAATCACACATACTCATTCTGAACCATTTCTTGACCAGAGCACTGGAACAGTTGTGTTTTGTGTTGTTGAAAAGGAAGCTGTTTTCCTCTACACACTGAATACTTCTGACACCAAATGTGAGGTATTTCCCCACACTGACCAGTTCTCTGACACCAGCTGGGTGTGCTACAATTCAATTCAATTCAGTCCTGACACTCTGCCTGGGTTAGTGTCAGATCCCACAGGTTAAGGGCACAGTCCCACGAGATTGTCCTCATTTCAGATGCCAGTCGCAAGTAGTGGGTCCCCAGGGTCCTCAGGTTACCCACACTTGTGTACGAGTTGGCTACAAATTGGAGGTTTCTACTACCCCCTCCTCGGGTTTGATAGTTTGCTATAATATCTCACAGTACTCAGGAGATGCTTACTTATGCTTATATAATAAAGGATATGAGAAAGGATACAGATGAATAGCCAGATGGAGAGGCACATAGGGTAGGGTCCAGAGTGCAGCAGCTTCTGCCCCTGTGGAGTTGGGGTGTACTACCCTCCTGGCACATGGGCGTGTTCACCAACCCAGAAACTCTCTGAACCATATACTTTAGGAGTTATTATGGAGCCTTTATCACATTTGCACAGTTGATTATTAACTCAGTCTCCAGCTTCTCCCCTCTCTGGAGGATGGGTGATAGAGCTGAAAGTTCTAAGCTTCTAATCATGGCTTGGTCTTTCTGATGACCAGCCCTCAAGCTATCTAGGGGACCCCAGCCACCATTCATCTCATTAGCATACAAAAAGACACTCTTATCACTGGAGATTTCAAGCATTTTAGAAGCTCTCGTGTGGGGAATTGAGGTCAAAGAACCAAATATTAGAACAAAAGATGCTCCTAGCCCCCCTATCACATAGGAAATTACAAGAGTTTTAGGAGCTGTATGCCAGGAACAAGAGACAAAGACCAAATATATTTCTTATTATAGCACAGTTGTTGAAAATGTTTATTTTCATTCCTGCCATAGGTTACTTGTATGAGAAAGTTGAGCACAAAAGCGAGCAGAATTAGAGATTGTGGTGTTTCTGGTTCAACTCATTGACTGAGACCATTGTGGGCCTCTTTAATAGCTCTGACCCAGATTCTAAGGGTCTTTTCTACCAAAAATTCCAAGTCTTGTTTGGTGTTGGAAATCCTCAAACTCATGGATACCTTTATGTGATCTTAGAAGGCAATAATTTTAAGTTAAAGGTAGATTATCATTTTGATGAGCTTGTTGGGACATGAAAAATGGTAAATATTATTTGTATAGTGTACACTTATTATTTTCCTGAATATGTGGTGAGGAGATGTATTGTACAAAAGGGGGTGTTCTGTAGGTTCCAAAGCGTTGGTACCTGGGAATTGTTGTATTGGGCTCATCATCTAGAAAGGCAGATTATAATGATTCTAATATAGTACTCTTGCTCCTAATTAAAGCAAATCTATGAATCTTGCTGATTTTAAGGTATTTTTGAATTCCTTATACACAGCCTTTTTAGATGAATGAACTTTTAAACAAGATATATTTAAATGTTTTTGGTGTGATTCAGTTAGTTGATAATCTAAGTGGAGAGTTTTCCGTATAGAAAGAATATTGTCTATGGTATTTATATTCCTTGAATGAGTAAAAGCCAAGCACTTTTGTAGAAACATCTTTTTCTGAGGAGCCTGGAATTGTGACTTCAGACTTGACTTTCTCCCTGGTGTTTGGTCTGTACACACACCTCATCTGTGCTCTTTGTATGTTGGCTAAAGATATTCCATAATCGAAAACAACAATTAATACTCACTTTTGTTGTCAGTTCTAATCATTTACTTCTACTTCTGTCTTTATCATCTCAGCTTGTCTGTCAGCAAAGTGTAATGTGTTTGGATGTCAGAAGTCTACTATGTTTACATTTTTTTCTCGCCTTTTTTTATAATGGAGCTTAGTGCATTACTGACTGACCAGACAGGGTAAAGAAATGACTGTTCAGCATCAGCTAAGTAAGTATAGGTGTGCTCCTGATCACTGAGGGTAACACGTGTTCTCTTTTAGAGACTCAATCCCCAAGTTGTAATGTGTGCATACACATAACTTTTTTCTTATAGAGGGTTTTTTTTCTTCTGGAGGCTATTATTACTCTTTATTCTCTGTCTACTCTCTATAATTGCCATTATATTGATGGCTTTTCTGATAATAGTTTTTCCTGTTCTCTTTCTAGTACTTTGTCAGACCTTTATCAAAATGGGGCTGCTGTCTTCCTTCACTTGCAGCGATGAGTTTAGCTCACTGAGACTACATCACAACAGGGCCATCACCCATTTGATGAGGTCGGCTAAGGAGAGAGTTCGTCAGGTGAGCACTGCAGAGTGTACTTTGTGTGTGACAAAAACACTGTAATTTCAAGAGTATTTTAAAGCATTGTGAAATCCTGATTATACAACAGGTTTGTAAAAATTAGCCTTTAATTTGTTTATTCGACAAATGTTCATTGAGTGACTGCCATGCGTTAGGCTCTCTTGTAAATGCTGAGGTTCAAGCAGTGAACAAAAGAGACAAAAATCCCTGCTTTCGTGGAGCTTATGTTTTGATGAGGGGCAGTAAACAATAGAAAAGAAAACATCTATATAGGGTGTTAGATGGTGGTAAGTGTTAAAGAGAAATCTAAAGCAGAGAAGGGGCTTAGAAAATGGGTGAATTTTTTATATAAGGTTGCCAGGAGGGCCTCACTGAGACTGTCATGTAAGTCAGAAGCTGAAGTCGAGAGAAGGAGGAGGAAAAGCATTCTAGGCAGAGGAACCATAATTGCAAAGGCCCAGAGGTCGCAGTGTGTGTGGCATGTTTGGGAAGCTGATGGGCAGCCATTTGACTGGTAAGCAGGGGGACAGTATGGGAGAGGAGGGGCAGGGAGGGCAGCAAGAGGGACAGACGGAGTAGGAGCTTGAGACTTTTAATACTTTTGGTTTTTACTCAGAGTTTAAGATGGGAGGCATTGCAGGATTTTGAGCAAAGGAGTGACTTAATCTGACTCAGATTTTCATGGGATCACACCAACTACTGTGTTGAGACTAGACTGAGGGGGGCAAGAGCAGAAGCAGGGAGACAGTTGCGGTCATACAGGCAAGAGGTGTTGGTGGCTTGGAATGGGTGGTAGCAGTGGAAACGTGAGAAGTGGTCAGTTTCTGCGTATATTTTGAAGGTAAAGTCAACATTATTTGCTGATGGAGCTCCTTGGTAAATTCTCAGCTTTGTCAGTACATAGCAGAGTACAGCTCTTTTAGTAGTGATCTTTTGGTTAAGAGAGAAATATTTTCAATTGTAAACTCTTAAGTAATATTGAAAAGGCCATTGGCTGTGAGTTTTTTTCCCCTAGTATTATCTGAGCAATTGGGACTATTAACATGATATCGAATTTTGATAGATTCCTTATTCCATGAAATTTTCAAAATACTTTTTAAAAATAACTTTTTGATTTTAGGATCCTTGTGAGGATAATTCTCATACTCAGACGATCAGGTATGTGTTAAATACGTTTTTGATCATGCAAAGAGTAAACTATCCCAAAGAAATGAGGATTAAGAATTAATCCTGAATTAGTCAGAAATTAGTATTGAGGTTAAAAAATAGTGTGCTTGGGGTAGTTTATGAAGATTAAAAACTTTGTTCTCAGTAATTAATTACTGCTCCAAGATTTGCTTTACTTCTTATTCCCTCCTCTCTGATCCCCTGTTGCCCATTCAGTGTGGAGTCCATCAGCCTCACCCTTAATTCAGAGTACTGATATGCAGGCCTGTCAGGGGAAGACCGTTTCATTTCGGCTGTATGTAGGAAATGCTTTAAAATCTCACTGGTCTTGGGGCCGCCCCGGTGGTGTAGGGGTTAAGTTCACGTGCTGTGCTTTGGCAGCCTGGGGTTCGCAGGTTTGGATCCCAGGTGCGGACTGATGCACCACTTATCAAGCTACGCTGTGGCGGCGTCCCATGTAAAGTAGAGGAAGATGGGCACAGATGTTAGCCCAGGGCCAGTCTTCCTCACACACAGACACAAAAAAACCAAATCTCACTGGTCTGAATCATTAAGAAATATAAGTAAATTTATTACTGAGCTCAGCTGATCAACTGCTGCCTGTTAGTCATCCTTAGGATTCCTGCTTTAAATCTTTGATGGTAATTTCCAATTGGAATACTAATTACTGGTGAAATACTTAAATCAGATTCACGATCCCCTTGCTACCATTATTACACTCTCAATTTGCTTAGCAAATGCTTTCTTCATAGAGGATGAAAAGTTTCATTTGAGCGTATCCTTTCCAAATTCCCACAGTGTTGTGATGAACGAGTAGTATGGTGAGCATGAACTATCCCAGAACATTTTGATTCTCTCATGTTGTAATATTGATTGTTTGTATTTAACTTTCAGATCAAGGGAAGTAGCCTTTGAAGCACAAACGTCACGTTACTTAAATGAATTTGAAGAGCTCGCCGTCTTAGGAAAAGGTGGATATGGAAGAGTGTACAAGGTGGTTTTCCACACGTTCGTTTTGACCTGCTACTCAGATAAATGTATTTTGAGAAGTTGGTTTCATTGTTAGTATTTAAAGTGCTCCAAGGAAAATTCCTAGAAATTGTAAATAAATACTTTTCATTAAGATTTGTCATTTACAAGGGAAGTGGCCAGGTTTTAATTTTTTCCTAACCGTGTTGGTGGTTTAGGTGGATTCTGGAAACTTTGAGTTTTTGTTCTATAGTTAATTTTTTCTTAAAAATGTATTACTGAAAAAAGTTGTGCTTTGTGTTTTGGGCCTTACATAGCCCTTTTCTAACATTCCCGTTTTCAGACCTGGAGCTTCTAGAAGTTGGACTCTTAATGTGGTTTGAAAATAGTAGATAGAATGCATGTCTTTAGCTTAATTTTATCCCTTTGGCTAGTTTGAATTATCTAAGCTCAGGTTAAAAGAACTTTCTTTATTCAGCTGGAACTTAATGGCACAATATACTTTGTTTTTTCCTCTACTTTTTAGGTCAGGAATAAATTAGATGGTCAATATTATGCAATTAAAAAAATCCTGATCAAGGGTGCAACTAAAACAGATTGCATGAAGGTATGATTTTTAAAATTTATTTATTTTGAATAATTGAGTATTTAGGTGCTTTAGAAAGAGTTATATGTTTGTGTGTGTATGTATTTGGCAAATAGGTGGTGTGGATTGTCAGTTTACTAATGTTTATTTGACTTAATTTTTTTTGAGGTATTTCAGATTGCCCGCATTTCAGGGTCATTGCTGGGGAAATTAATTTTTTAACTAAATTATTCATATACAATACAACATGTTATAAAAAAACATAAGCTCAGTTCAGGTCCCAGTCTTCTCCCTGACATGCTGTGTGGTCCTGGGCAAATGACCTAGTTCTCTAAGCCACTTCTGTCTCCCGCCCTTGAAATAGTGGTGACAACAATGGTTTTATTTACCTTCGAGGACTGGACTTTGTTGTAGAAATCAAATGAGAGAATGATTATAAATGAGCTATGAAAAGTATAAAGTGCTATATGCATGTAAGTTATTTAGTTGCTGTAACAATTGGCACTTGTCTCTCACAAAAATATCCCCATTATTTTAGCATAGTTTAGATTCCTTGTAGAGAGAGGTTTTTATTATTTTTCTCTGGAACAAGATAGTATTTGATATCATGAAAATTTAACAAATTTTCAGTGAAAGCCAGAATTCAGTGCGTTTCTTCTTTAGGTATTACGGGAAGTGAAGGTGCTGGCAGGTCTCCAGCATCCTAATATTGTAGGCTATCACACTGCTTGGATAGAACATGTTCACGTGGCCCAAACGCAAGGTAAGCAGTTTTTGATGATATAGTTGAAGGGCTGGCAAACTTGAGTCGGTGAGCCAGATCTGGCCCACCCGTTTTTATGCACCCCACAAGCTGAAAATGTTTTTTTTACATTTTTAAATAGTTAAAAGGAATCAAAAGAAGAATATTTTGTGAAAATTATATGTAATTCACATTTCAGTGTCAAAGTTTGTTAGGACAAAGGCTCGTTCATATGTGTCGTCTGTGGCTGCTTTTGCACTACAGCAGCAGAGTAGAGTAGTTGCAGCAGAGCCCCACAGGGCCCGCAAACCCTAAAGTATTCACTGTCAGGTCCCCTACAGAAACTCTGCTGACCCCTGGTATAATTGAACAGCTCTGTTGCTGTAGTTCCTAAAATGTGCCAGTCATTGGAGTAAGCATGTTGTATTTTGCCAGAAGGTCGTGACATTTTAGACTTACAGTCTCATTTAGTATTAATTGTATATTTTAGTTCTGCCTTTGACTATAAATTAGAAAACTGGGCTTCTTGAAGATTTTCTTTTGTTTTTGTTCAGCAGACAGGATTTCTATTCAGTTGCCGTCCCTGGAAGTGATCTCGGACCAGGAGGATGACAGGTATGTGACTCTTGTCTGCTTCTTGCACACAGGACATTACCTACCATCGCCTGCATTGAGTTGCCTTTGCTTTTTGCTACTAGGAGCTCAGGAGTGTCTTAGACTTTCTTTTTGCTTATTTTCATTACAAAATGTTAAATTATTTCCTTCTCTCAGATATTTTCTGTCAGTATTTTAAATAAATGTTGCTGCTAGACAGATTTGATGCCATTTTTTTTTTTTTTTAAAGATTTTATTTATTTTATTTTTTGCCCCCAAAGCCCCAGTAGATAGTTGCATGTCATAGCTGCACACCCTTCTAGTTGCTGTATGTGGGACTCGGCCTCAGGATGGACAGAGAAGTGGTGCCTTGATGCGCACCCGGGATCCGAACCCGGGCCGCCAGCATCGCAGCGCGCGCACTTAACCACCAAGCCACAGGGCTGGCCCTGATGCCATTTTTTTCAGGAATTTACCAGTGAGATTCATACAGACTTGAAAGAACAGTTGAGTTACTCTTGATCTTTTTTTTGCACTGATTTTTATCTTTACTGTTTTTTTCCTCCAGAGATCAATATGATGTTAAAAGTGATGAAAGTAATGGCTCATCCATTATCTTTGCCGAGTTCACTTCAGAAAAAGAAAAATCTTTTGGAGAATCTGGCACGGAAAATCAGAATAACAGATTGGTGAACTACACGACCAATTTATTCACAAGAGACGCCAGTGAATTTGAATCATTCAGTGAGCTCCAAGAAAATGGCTTGGCTGATTTGTCTTCCAGATCGATTGTAGAGCATCAGCTGCCAGCTAGGCATAATTCAGACTTAGAAGAGAATTTTGCATCCACTGAGGAATCTTCTGAAGAAAAGTTAACCTTGTTGGGGCAGACAGAGGTAGATTACTCTCCCACAACCTACTGATGTGATGTTTACCCGTAATAATCACATAAAGGACTGTGATTAGATATGGCCTTCCCTCTTCCTCAGCTGACTTCCCACCTTGTGCTCCTCCCTTTCTCTGCTTTTGCCCTGTCTTCAGTCTCTTCTACTTGCCATGTTCCCCCTTGACATTCGGCCTTTATATTTTGTCTTTCCTCCTTCACTTACTTGACTCCTACTAATTCTCTTCTGTCCTCGCTACCTGGGTCAGTTCCTCCTCTAGATATTCTCATATATGTACCCTGGATTTGGAAGCATCATTCACACTCTGTTTCTGATTAACGTTAGCCTCATGCTATAAAAATATATTTATGCAGAAAGATTTTCTCTATTTTGGAACATGACTTTAGGAGAGGGTCCTGGTAGGATGACCAGGTTGGTTTTCAGCGTACTCTTGTTGAAGGTTACACTGATATGCTGATGAGACTGCCATGTACTCTCACCAGTATTGGGTATTAGTATTAAAAAAACGTGAACATTAACAGGGTCTATGCGTGATCTGTCATATTGAAATTATAAAAATATACCTTCTGTATATCCACACGCAGAATTAATTCTTCTTGTCTGGGAATATGTGGCTCTGTGTGTGTGTTTTTGTATGAAACATAGAACTTTGAACAGATTCACCTGAATGCAAAGGAGCTGAGTTTGAGGGACTTTTAAGCAGAATTGCTTCATTTCTTTGTATTAAATTTGGAAAATTTTCCTGAATGCTGAAACGAATGGGCTATAGTAAGCTTAATTTTTGCTTACCTTTTCCTTGAACAAGTTCCTAGTTATGGACAATGTGAAGCCGGCCAAAGTGTGTATATACTTTGGGGCATACATAAAGTAGTGGAATATCATATAGCCATTCTTTTATACTTTATCTTAGCTGTAAAAACTGTTTCCATAACAATCAGACCAAACACTTTTAGGCCCAGTGGCTTGGTGTCACATTCAAGAGCTTCTGCCATTTGATGCCTGCCCAACTCCAGCCAGGCCTGCCCCTGCCCCCTTGGATTGTGACACACCATTTTAAGTATTGTTTTACTTGTCTGTCTCCCTCACTAGACTTTGGGCTTCTCAGACAGGCCTGTGTCTGTTGTCTCTGTCCTCAGCACTGAGTCCCGTGCTTGACCTAGAGGAGGCTAGTGAGTATTTATTGACTAAATGAAGAGTGTGAGAGAATCGTGTAGAGTCGGGAGCTGGCGATGTGTTGTCCCCTAGGTGCAGTACCACCTAATGCTGCACATCCAGATGCAGCTGTGTGAGCGCTCGCTGTGGGACTGGATAGCCGAGAGAAACGAGCGGGGCCGAGAGTGTGTGGACGAATCTGCTTGTAAGTACCATATGGGTCTGCAAGTCCGGGGCTGGGAAATAAAGACGGAGTTAGAGCTGCCTTCTGCCTCCAGCTGCTTTGGATTGGGGGGAAAAAATCACGTTTTTTAAACCAAAGGAACAATTATGCTTATTTCAACATGTTTCAAAAACAAATAGATATTTAGAAGTTAATTTTCTCTATGATAGATACATGGTTTGTTGATTTAAGCAGTAATATGCTAGAATTTACGTTAATGATTTTAGGTCTTGGAAAAACTCTTTTTTTTTTTTTTATAATTTTATTTATTTTTTCCCCCAAAGCCCCAGCAGATAGCTGTATGTCATAGCTGCGCATCCTCCTAGTTTCTGTATGTGGGACACGGAAAAATTCTTTTAAGGAAAAATTTAAGTACATGTTTTATTTATTTATTTATTTATTTCTTTGTGAGGAAGACTAGCCCTGAGCTAACATCCAATGCCAATCCTCCTCTTTTTGCTGAGGAAGCTTGGCCCTGGGCTAACGTCCCTGCCCATCTTCCTCTACTTTATATGGGATGCTGCCACAGCATGGCTTGACAAGCGATGTGTCGGTGCGTACCCGGGATCCGAACCTGTGAACCCCAGGCCGCCAAAGCGGAGCGAGCGCACTTAACTGCTGCGCCATCTGGCTGGCCTTTATTTTATTTTTTTAACTTCAAAATATAGTCTTCTTACAAAAAAAAAAACCTTTAAAGAAACCTTTATTAGAAGGGTGTGTGGTGAGAAGTTTGTCTCCCTCAAGATCCAGATCTTCCTCCCTCCCCTGTAGTTATATATCCTCTAGAAATACTCTGTTAGGTTAATATTTTTAAATTATAACACTGATTCTCAACTTAGGCTGCATGTTGGAATCACCTAGGGAACTTTTAAAAAGATGTTGTCGATAAATAAGAATAACTTTACAGTGGAGAAACCTGACAAACACCACCTCAGCTAGTGATCAAGGACAACATCAACAGTGATAAGTCAGGCTGATGGTGTGTGCCCTCGATAAGATGTGATGAGAAAGACGCTGTATTTCTGTGGTCTTCCTCCCTGAAACCCGTAATCCCAGCCCTATCATGAGAAAAACATCAGGCAGATCCCAGTTGGGGGGCATTCTACAAAATACCTGACCAGTGCTTCTCAAAACTGTCAAGGTCATCGTAAACAGGAAAAGTCTGAGAAACTGTCACAGACCAGAGAAACCTCAAGAGACATGACAACTAAGTGTAATGTGGTATCCTGGGTGGAATCCTGGAACAGAAAAAGGACATTAGGTAAAAACCAGGGAAATCTGAATGAACTGTGGACTCGTATCAGTATTGGTGCATTAATTGTGACAGATATACTGTGCTAAAGTAAGGTGTTAGTGACAGGGAAATCTGGGTGTGGGGTCAATGGGAACTGTCTGTACTGTTTGCTCAATTTTTCTGTAAATCTAATGTGGTTCTAAAAAATAAAGTCTTTTTTTTTTTTTTTGGTGAGGAAGATCAGCCCTGAGCTAACATCCATGCTAATCCTCCTCTTTTTGCTGAGGAAGACTGGCTCTGAGCTAACATCTATTGCCAATCCTCCCCCCGCCTTTTTTGTCCCCCCACAAAGCCCCAGTAGATAGTTGTATGTCATAAGTGCACATCCTTCTAGTTGCTGTATGTGGGACGCGTCCTCAGCATGGCCGGAGAAGCGGTGCTTTGGTGTGCGCCTGGGATCTGAACCCGGGCCACCAGTAGCAGAGCACGAGCACTTAACCGCTCAGCCACGGGGCCGGCCCTAAAGTCTGTTTTTTTAAAAAGGGTGTTGTCTGGGACCACACCAGTAATTTTTATATCGTTGGTCTAGGATAGAGTGTAGCCTTTGGTATCTTTTTTAAAGTTCCCTTGTTGATTCCAATGTGTAGTCAAAGTTGAAATTCACTGTATTAGATTATCAAAATAGGGGATGCGAGTGACCTGTTTTTAGATAAAGACTGAACTAAATATTGATGAATTAATCATTTGCTTGTTACTTCTGATGACACTATAGCCCTAAGTAGGTCCGTTAACCTATTCAGAATCTTAGACTAGCTTCCAACAGAGACAGGAACGGAACATCTCCCTCCAGCAGCTCCTCACGCCCCTTTGTTGACCATGTAATCAGGACGTGCTGGACTTTGCTCAGTTCGGTTGTGGCAAGTAGTGTGTGGGGTATTTTCCGTGCCCTGTCAAGGTGTATCCTTTGCCTGCTGCACGGGCATTGTAGTGCTATGTGCCGACGTCTTTCTGAAAAGGAGGATGGTTTGTTACAGTCCTGCGGGCAGTTGCTCTTTAAACTTCCTTTTGGAAAAGAGTCCCTAATGAAGTGTGGGATGAGAACTCTGATTTATGCCATCTACTACAAGAAAGCTATCAAAACAGTGAAGGCAAGATATGTATGATACTGCTAGCGTGATGTATATTTTTCTTTAAAAAATATTTTAAAAAGTCTTATTATAGTTTTAAATAAATTAAAATTTATATTTTATATTATTCCTTACCTCAATTATATTTTTACCTTAATCGTTCCCAGCAGTCCCGTGAGTGATAGACCTGGGTTGAATCCTGGCTCTAGTACTCACCAGCTGTAAGGTTTTGGGCAAGTGAGGGAACTGCTCGCAGTCTATTTCCTCACCTGTAAACTGTGGGTCGTCCCCATTTTGTGGGGCTGTTGGATTAAAGCAGAAGTCTAAAGGACGTAGCGTGAGTGAATGGGAACTGTTATCTCTGGATCAGGGCCCTGTGTGATGACTGAAGCTCTAAGTTGCCACCATTGGGATGTGTTAGATAGGTTAAAATGAGAACCGTGTTAAAGACAGACTGAAGGGATGTAGTTCTTCTGAATAGTTGTGAAAATTGAAAAGCCCTCCGTGCATTTCTACCTAGCCACGAGGTTGGTCACTTCATTGTGAGGGGGAGTCATACTGGAGGTGCTTGTAGTGGAGCCATTGTGTACACACACACACACACACACACACACACAGTTTTCTGTCTTCTCAAGTACTTGAGGTCCCTAAGTTATATGCTAGATAGTGTAAAAGGAGAGTGTGAAATAGGTTTGAGCTGTAGGCCCATTCAAGGAGGAGAAGGGAGCATGTAGTGTTCTTGTGCTTGAGGGTAAACAATAGGTTAATAATTTAAAATGATGAATAGAGAAGAGCTATTAAGTTTTTATTATATTACTAAACTTACTTGACTGGAAAACTCCAGGATTTGTTTCTTCATCAATTTTTGTTTTAGTTCTACAAAACTTCTCCACTCTCTAAATTCGCATATTATGTCATCACATTAATAGGTAAATTAATTCATTTACTCTCCCCCGACCCCCTGCATATTTCATTTGTCAGTCATTTTTGAAAAATGCAGCATTCCAAATCTTCCAGGTGATGAAAGCTCACCCGTAGGGCTAATGTAATTTATCTTTTTTTATCTTATTCCATTATTTGTAATCATGTCTTTAGTCCACAGTGGGCCAGACACCAGATTTATTAGCATTAAACCCTAGGATGTCAAGGGTTGAAGGGAACTTAACCAACATCTAGTCTAGCCACTTGATGCCTGAGATTGTTCACAAAGTAATTAATACAGGGGCTCTGAGTGAAATGAGAGGTCCTCTCTTTCTGGTGACACGAAGTCTGTTGACTGTTGGGTGCTAGTTTGTGATGGCTTCTTTGCTAGTCGAGGAGCCCTCCCTGCTAATTTCTAGGTTTGAAACCATTTTGGAGTGTTAACTTTGTTGAAGATCTGAATGTTATATAGGTGTCAGATGTTAATGTATTTAGAACTACATTTAACATTTAGATGTTAATGTAATGAGTAAAAAAAAAATTAGAGAAATAAAACTATTTTTTTTACTTCAAGGTCCTTATATTATGGCCAGTGTTGCAACAAAAATTTTTCAAGAATTGGTGGAAGGTGTATTTTACATACATAACATGGGAATTGTACACAGAGATCTTAAGGTAAGTGGGGGAGGCTAAATGCTTCTTATCAGAGTTGACTTGGTATCAGCTCATTGAATGAAATGGGATTATGTACTCTAGTTCATTTACTTAGGAGGTTATCATTACTTTTATGTAAGTCATCATTCCATAGGTTGAGAATATGAAAACTTTAGATTGAGTTTAAAAGCAGTAATCTATGGACATTTGAAAATTCTCCATGTTTTTCAAGTCGTAAGTGTGTTCTGAGTACTGATATAATTGATGATGCTAAGTGTATTTAATGCTGACAAAAATACTCATGTATTGGGCCGGCCCCGTGGCGTAGCGGTTAAGTACGTGCTCTCCGCTGCTGGCGGCCAGGGTTCAGATCCCAGGCACGCACCAATGCACCACTTGTCAGGCCATGCTGTGGTGGCCTCCCATATAAAGTGGAGGAAGATGGGCACAGATGTTAGCCCAGGGCCAGTCTTTGTCAGCAAAAAGGGGGATTGGCATGGATGTTAGCTCAGGGCTGATCTTCCTCACCAAAAAAAATAAAAAAATAAACACGTTGCCTCTCTTTAAAAAAACAAAAAAACAAAAAAAAAACTCGTGTATTATTTCAGCCATAGAGGTAAAATCTATTTTAATAATTGTCTATCTTAAAGGAAATTTAACATGGGAAATTTTTTTCTGATGTTTTAAAAATCCGTAATGACTATTCCGATTTTTATTCTGTAAAGACTATCAAGAAAGAGAAAATATATTTACTTCTTTGGCTGAGAGTTTTAAATTAATTTGCTTACTTTTTGGGCAAAAATTAAATCATGGAAAATGCATTTAAAAGAATATTTAGGAATAAAAAGTTAATATGCAAATCATTTTATTTTTTGAAAGAGATTTAAGAACCAATAGTTTGTAAATTTGGGATGCATAAAGCGATGGGTTAAGTATTTTCTGGGTATATGTGTAGCCAGAAAATGGGGTTTGAGTTACTGAAATCCTATGGCACTGTGAAACTTCGAGATCTTACTTGAAGAGGTGAGCTAAGTCGTAATAACCATATACAGAATTCCATATCTTCCCTGGGAGAAGTTGCTTCAAGTGTTGTTTGTGTTTCTCACCATAAATATTTCTGATGTTTCTTTTACAGATATCCTCTAGGGATAAGAGTTTTTGAGATAACTTTATTAGGGTTTCCCTTAAGAGGTGGAATTGTGGGAGCATGAGTCCTGCAGGTAGAGTTCCTTGGTTATTGGTCAGTCTCAAAGGATAAGAGTGATAAAGTAGCCTGGCAAGAAGTGCTGTGTCTCTTGTATTGGAACTGCGCTGAAGATACATATATATTGGAGATTCCCCATTTCTTGTTAATATGTTAATGTTTGCTTCAAATTCGAGCAAGAGATTGATTATTGCCTCTCTGCCTCCAAAACATGCCTCGTGGATAGCGGTTTGACCTTCGTGGTCCTGGGCATTTACTTTGGCTCCGTGGATCAGCAGCAGGCGGATACAGCTCACCCCTGCAGCCAGCAGTCGGCCTGCTTTCCCTGATGCGGTGCACACCGCCAGCTTAAGGGCTGTGTTCCCCGTGGAAGAGACGGCACAGTTAACATTGGCTCCACAGGAAATTAGTGTTTCTATCATCTCCTTATTCAGTATATTTGCAGCCATGTGAAGGGGCGTCATGCTGGATTCATTAATAGCATTGACATGGGCGCCATTTTGGGCTAAAATGGAGAGGACTGGATAGTTCCCATATATTATGCCCAGGTGGAGGGGTGAATGTTTCTGGCTGTTGTCTACTCGAGCATTCACCTGAGCTCCGTGTTCACACAGAATGTGGAGACACCTTATAGCATTATTCTGAATATCTGTCAGGATCCTTTGGATTCTGTTCCCTGGTTCTGTCCACATGGTAGAAGTGATTGGCCAGTGCAGGAGCATCAGGTGAAGTGTGGTGAGGCCTCTTGTATCCCTGGAATATAGGTATTGATCTCAGGTTACAGTCAATTCACAGTGGGAATGGCTCTACTTGAAGAGTTAGTGCTTTAGAAGGCAACATTTATTTACAGTAATCACCCTTAATTACTTTAAAGAAGTGTTTGAAAATCTGCATTGCTGTTTCATTTCTCAGGATTTTATCACAGCAGGTTTGGGGGGACAGTGGTATGCATCACAGCATGGAGGGGCCCAGCTTCCTCTAGCAGCTTGTTTGGATGTTAATACTCCTGCTGGGCCTATGGCCTCTTCAAGGCTCTATCTTGGTGATTTCTGCACGCCAGCACCTCACACAGTGCTGTGCTGAGTCAGCAGCCATTCAGTAAAATTGTGTGGACTTAAGTATGATCTGGTATTACCAGAGAAGTGAGCCATCAAGGGCCAGAACTCCTATTGACTCAGTGCTCAGTGGCTCGGCATCTGCTCCTCTACCTGACATTTTTACTCATGTGTGTAGGTAGAATGGAGGACAGGGGTTGACTCTGGAGACCCACAGTCACTCTGAAGTTAGTGAAGCCAGGTCATCTTCATATCCTGCTGTAGCCTAGGTGGAATGAGTGTTTGACAACTTGGCCCTCATCTACTCCTGTACTGAAATCTCTCAGGATTGCCTCTTTTATTTTGGCATAGAAAAGGGAAGGTTTATTATGAACGTCTGAGTGCTCCACTGAAGTTAGCAATGATTTCAGTTCACATATGTTCATTTAGTGTGAGGCCCTATGCTAGGGCTGTGGTGAGATAGTTGGTAGTCCTTACCTTTGCAGAGCTTACAGTTCAGGATGGAACACATTAAACTGTCTGAACAGCTGAGTAAATAAAATATTGCAAGTGGGCAGAGTTCTAGAGGGGTATGAAGACCTCACCCAGGGATGGCCTGTGGTTTGAAGGGTGGGAAAGGGTGTTTGGAGGATCCCCTGAGCAGGATGGGGCAAGTTTGTGATGGCCCAGTTGTGGAAAGACTGAGAGGACCTGCAAAGCTGGGGTGGGGTGTGTGGTGCAGCCACAGGGGTGGGGAGGGTGAGAGCAAGACAGGTCAAGTGGGCTCTTCTGGAGTGTGGTAAGGATTTGGGGCTTAACTTTCTTTTAAGGTGGTGGGGGCAAGAAGTTATATTATTTTTATGCCATGTGATTCTTCTATTCATTCAGGTAGTATGTATTGGGCACTTAGTAAGTGTCAGGCCTTGGTTTAGGTGGTGAAGATACATTGATGAGCAAGATAAACTTCTCTTTTCATGAAGCGTACCTTCTAGTGGAGGGATAGAAACAAGAAAATCTGTTGCCTATTCATATTTTCTTATTTTTCATACCTAACTTAGGTCCTTAAACTCCCTGGGGGCAGTGACCAGGACTTAGGGCATTTTCCACACCACCACTGCTGAGCGCTTAATACTCAGGATGCTCTGAGTGGGCTGAATGATTTGTGTTCCTGCATTATTTCTAGTTTTTCAGAGTATCTCATCTAGTCAGTAAAGAAATGGGTTCATTCAAAACATGATAATTTGTAGTCCATAACCTGTGAAGAATGGATGAGTCCAGACATGACTGGAAAAGGGAACATCTAAATCCTGTCTATCATTTAGAAATGGCGGCCTGTTGAGTTACCTTACCTGACTTCCAGGTCAGCGCCGTGTTCTAGCAAACAAAGCAAACTCTGGGCCTTGCGGTATTCGGCAGCCAGGTGTATGGGGATGATGGACTGCATCTGCTTCAGGGGAGGAAACCAGAATACGTTACAAGTAGCCCTGTGTAGTTAGAAATAGTAATTGTGTTAGCTTGCCATTTCAAAGGAAATAAATGTGTTTAATATCTCATTGGTTCAGTATTTTTCTGGTATGTGCATTGAAATTTTCCTTTTCTTTTTGCCTGTTTTAAATGACCCCAAACCAGTGAATTTCGTATTATGAAATTGGTGTTTTACATAAATGCAAATTTATCAAGGCAACAGAAATAACTTAAAGCTTTGAAAGCTGATTCTTTTGAAGAGCTCATAGTGTAAAATTAATGGTAATTGCTGTTAAGTCACTTAGTCCTTAGATTAACCCACAGGGTGATTGACAAGTAGGTTTTGTGTTGTTTGAGGCTTTGCTAAAGTCTTAGTAACAGTAGTAAAACCTGCCTTTTCAGGGATTCAAAGATAATGCAGCATATGTTCTATGATTAGCAGAGCTCTTTATGCCAGTTCTTAAAATATATATATAAGTAGTGGCTTTACAGCATGACTGCAAGATAAGGGAAGAGGGTAGGTAAAGGAGAGGGTGACTTTTTTTTTGGTTTAGAATCTTGTTTTTATTTTTATTTATTTATTTTTTTTTAATTTTTTGTTTATTGCAGTAACATTGGTTTATAACATTGTAAAAATTTCAGGTGTACATCATTGTACTTCTATTACTGCATAGATTACATCATGTTCACCACAAAAATACTAATTACAACCCATCACCACACACATGTACCCAATTATCCCTTTCACCCTCCTCCCTCCCCCCTTCCCCTCTGGTAACCACCAATCCAATCTCTGTCCCTATGTGTTTGTTTATTGTTGTTATTATCTACTACTTAATGAAGGAAATCATACGGTATTTGACCTTCTCCCTCTGACTTATTTCACTTTGCATCATGCCCTCAATGTCCATCCATGTTGTCACAAATGACTGGATTTCATCGTTTCTTATGGCTGAGTAGTATTCCATTGTGTATATATACCACAGCTTTTTTATCCATTCGTCCCTTGATGGGCACTTAGGTTGCTTCCAAGTCTTGGCTATCGTGAATAAGGCTGCAATGAACACAGGGGTGCATGTACCTTTGCAAATTGGTGTTTTCAAGTTCTTTGGATAAATACCCAACAGTGGAATAGCTGGATCATATGGTAGTTCTATCGTTGATTTTTTGAGGAATCTCCATACTGTTTTCCATAGTGGCTGCACCAGTTTGCACTCCCACCAGCAGTGTATGAGAGTTCCCTTCTCTCCACAACCTAGGAGAGGGTGACTTTTTGAAAAAAATTTTAAGTATAAAGGTGATAATGATGCATAAAAATTTAGAAAATGAGGGGCCAGCCTGGTGGCGCAGTGGTTAAGTTCTCTCGCTCTGCTTCAGTGGCCCAGGGTTCGCAGGTTTGGATCCCGGGTGCGGACCCATGCACTGCTTGTCAAGCCATACTGTGGTAGCGTCCCATATAAAGTAGAGGAAGATGGGCACGGATGTTAGCCCAGGGCCAATCTTCCTCAGCAAAAAGAGGAGGATTTGTATCCCATGTTAGCTCAGGGCTAATCTTCCTCACACACACACACACACACACACACACACACACACACACACACACACAAAAATTGGAAAATGAAAAAGTATATGTGAAAAAGGGAAAAAAAAATTCCATCACCTGGATGTAATCACCATTGGTTTATTTGAGAGGATGACATTAATGTTCCTCCAACCAAATGAGCTCAAAATGATTTCTCACATCAGTTTGTGTGTAATAACTGAAAGGGAGGCACTGCAGACTTAGAAGAACACTACTCTGGGCCTGGAGTGTGCTTGAGATGTACTGTTGAGCCTTGGGCGTGGTAAGGGCAGTGAGGAGGTTTGATGAGTTCCCAAGAATTAGGTGGTGTTCCTTCCGAAGCATCCTGTCTTTTTACTAAAAGTGAGCTGAAAAGCAAGTACCTGGCTCAGAAGTGATCTGTAGCTGGAGGAGTTGGCCAGAATGGACATGGGCTGGTTGACGGGGTGGCTTCTTAGGAGTACCTGGATGGTGGTGCAGTCTTCTCTCATTATGGCTTCGTAGAGTTTCCTGTGAAGTGCTGCGCACGGGCCTTCTTCTGGTGACTCGGCACTTTCAGCAACCTGCTTCTCGCTGCCTCTCCTGGTTATGTTTCCCATGAGAAAAACTTAAGAGTGAGGACTTAAGAGTTCAGGGGAAACTTGTTATGGAATTGGCCAGTTTCAGTCTCTTTATGATTCCTTCACTTCAGTTCTAGAACTATTCTAGAATTGTTGAGAATTGCATCTGTGAACATGATTAATTTTTATATCAGAGCCCAACTTTTTCATACTTTGTTTCTGTATCATATAGTGCCAAGTATAAGCGCAGTTTTTAGGACTTTCTACTCAATCACAAAAACATATCCAAATTATCTTATTTTTTTTTCCAAATTATCTTGTTTTATACATAAGATTATTTCTGTTTTCTCTTCCTATTCAGCTATAGTTTAAAAAGCTAACAAAGCTAAAAGAGGAATTTATACATTAAAATTATTACATTTAAAGTAAGAAAACCCAACTTTTAAGCTAAATATTTTTTAGCTTTTAGTGGACTCCCGCTACCCGCATAAGTGTACTTTTTCACTGGCATAGTAATAGTGCCACTGGGAGATGTTTAGGTCTGTGGTGGTTGCTTAAATAGAGCTAAATGTGTACTTTCATAGTGTGACCTGGTCTTTCCCAACCCTGGCTAACAGATAAGAATCATCTGGGAGCTTTTAAAAAATATCCAAGTTTCTTTACTAAAAAAAGAAAAATCAAAGTCTTTGACTTGTTGGAGAGGACAATAGTTTTTAAAAGCTTCTAGGGTGATTCTGACATCCAGTCAGGGTTGAAGATCATTTGTGTACAAGCGTGCTCTACATTAGTGTTTCTCAAACTTGGAATAGCCTGGGGACTTTTAATTATACTGATGTCTGCCTCCACCCCCCAGGAATTCCAAATTAAATTAGGTCTGGGGAATGGCTTGGACACTGAGATTTTTTAAAGCTACCCCGGCAATCCTAATGTGTGGCTGAGTTTGAGAATCACTGCTATAACTTTTAATTTTTGAGGGGCTACTTGCTCCTGAGTTGAAAACTCTTAACAGTCCCCATGTTTTTACTGTTTGTTTTAAGGACACCAAGGAATTGATTTGTTCTGTTTGTTTACAGCCCAGAAATATTTTTCTTCATGGCCCTGATCAGCAAGTGAAAATTGGAGACTTTGGTCTGGCCTGCACGGACATCATACAGAACACTGACTGGACCAATAGAAATGGGAAGAGTAAGTTTTCTTGGGTTGTTGGGTTTTTTTTTTTTTGCATTAAAAAAAATAGATATGGTTGAACATGTCAGTATTTAAAGAGAATTATAAAGACTTAATAGCAAGGGTACAATAAAGATGAAAAGCAATTGTTGTTCCCTTGGGAGACACAGTGCCCCGCTCAGAGTCAGCGTTCTTTACTGTGGATGGTGTTGACACTGCAGTGTTTAATATTTGGCTTTTCAAATTGTAGGAACACCAACACATACTTCCAGAGTGGGTACTTGTTTGTATGCTTCACCCGAACAGTTGGAAGGATCCGAGTATGATGCCAAGGTAGCATTTATCACTTTTTACCCTTTTACTGGAGTTATTCTGAAGTCATAAGTAACAAAAAGTACAAAACATGCAGTGGAAGTCCCAATGCAGAGGTGTTTTTGGAGATAACTGAGAATGGTGGGTTCTCTGTTAAATCCAGCTGCCATAATAGGAAGCCTCAGTTTTCAACGGAATCTGACCGCATTTTTACTGTTTCTGAATCTCTGGGCATCACACCTTCTTATTGAAATGAGCTTTTTAAAATGTTACCTTCACTTCAGGAAGCTAGACTTCATAGAAGCCTGTTTGGAGCCTTTCATTCTTCTGTTTTCAAGCTTAGGTAAATAATGCCACAGGGAAGTGTGAGACTTGAATTTTCAGTCCCTGTTGTTTCTTGAAGAAATGTTAAGATAAATCCTTTTCTCAAAAATAATGACCTAGTAAATTTTCTTCTTTTTGATGAATCATTCAGCTTTTTAGTGATTGGGAAAGAGCTGCCACAAAAGACTGTGGCTGCTCCTAACATCCCGTCTAGTAAAGACTTTCCTAAAAAAAATATTTTTAGGAAATGTAGCACAGATTTTATGCGGAGTTTGTTAAACTTTACCAAGAGGGGTTAACTATGAGTGGAGGCAGAGATGAGAGCAGAGTAGGCCCCAGGGACACTCTTGTGACTCCCCTGTAGCTGGCACCAGCTCACATGTGTGAGCTCCCCTCTCTCTCTCTCAGGCTGCACCAGGTGTGGATTTTCAAGGCGCCATGGAGACGGTTGTGTGGTAGTGACTGTGGGGATTGTCCCTGCCCCTCACCTGGCCGTCAGTCCTTTGTGCCCATGGATGCCTCTTTTTTGTTTTTTTTTTTTTTGTGAGGAAGATCAGCGCTGAGCTAGCATCCGTGCTAATCCTCCTCTTTTTGCTGAGGAAGACTGGCTCTGAGCCAACATATATTGCCAATCCTCCTCCTTTTTTTTTTTTTCCCCCCAAAGCCCCAGTAGATAGTTGTGTGTCAAAGGTGCACATCCTTCTAGTTGCTGTTTGTGGGACTTGGCCTCAGCGTGGCCGGAGAAGCGGTGCGTCGGTGCACGCCCGGGATCCGAACCCGTGCTGCCAGTAGTGGAGTGCGCGCACTTAACCGCTAAGCTGTGGGGCCGGCCCAGGATGCCTCTTTTTGGTATTAAAGAGATGGCGGTTGTGACAGTACCCATCACCTCTCAGGGAAGACACTTGCCTTTATGAAGGATGAGCCAGCCTGCTGTTCCCTCTGTTGTAGGGACTGTAAATTGTGCTTTCTTAGAAATCCTCTCGTGTTTGAGAGGATGGTGCACTGAAATGGAGCTGCTATTCTCACTTTGTATTTCACTGCTAAATTACCTTTCCCCCACCTTTTTCTAGTCAGATATGTATAGCTTGGGTGTCATCCTGCTAGAGCTCTTTCAGCCGTTTGGAACCGAAATGGAGCGAGCACAAGTTTTAACAGGTTTAAGAACTGGTCAGATACCTGAATCCCTCAGTAAAAGGTGTCCCGTACAAGCCAAGTATATCCAGCACTTAACTAGAAAGAACTCATCCCAGAGACCGTCTGCTGTTCAGCTGCTGCAAAGTGAACTTTTCCAAAATTCTGGAAACGTAAGTACGTTGTTTTTAACGCTGGGGAAAATACGCAACTTAAAGTAGAATTTCTTTAAATTTTGAGTTGTATTTCATGAAGAACAGTTGAGCTTAGAATAAGGTTTATGGAAACAAAATATTTAAATGCATTCTCAGAGTTCCCAGTAGCACACTTGTTTTCACAGTCCAAGTAAGCAAGATGACCGCTGCCAACTATCTACTCTAAAAATTGTAATTACAGGCTTCAGTTTCTAGCCTCATCTTGCTATGTCAAAAGGTTTTATTTTTCCTTTCCAACTATGGTATATAACCTTTTATAAATTATTATACCTACTAGTAAAAAGGAACACATACCAAAGGGTAAAAGACAGTACTAATTCTCAGGGGGAGTTGGAGGGACAGCGCAGAGACCGCCTTAGCAAGTCTGTTAGCACTCAAGCGTATGATTCAGTCCCCTGATGTGGTGCTGCCCCAGGGCAGCCCGTTCCCTTCCTCCTTCCTGACACCTAGTTATAGTGCCAAGTATAGTCTCTAGTCTGCATATACTGGAAACATGATTCATCCATTCTGTTCTTCTAGAAACTTTCTAAGATTTAACAAAAGCTGGATTCAAAGATATATTCAGAGAGTCTTTAGTGCTTTGCTACTCAAAGTGTAGTCCTCCGACCAGCAGCATCAGTGTTACCTGGGAGCTTGTTAGAAGCACAGGATCTTGGGCTCTACCTGACATACTGAGTCAGAATATGCATTTTAACAAGATCCCCAAGTGATTTACATACAGTGTTTGAGCAGCATTGCTCAATGCAGTGGTTCTCAAAGTGTAGTTTCCAGACCAGCAGCATAAAATGACTGGGTGCTTGATAAAATTCTCAGGCCCTTCCCTCTCCCCCCGACCTATTAAAAGAGAAATTCTGGGGGAGAAGGGGCAGCCATGTGAGCTTTAACAAACCCTCAAAGTGATTCTGATGCACACTAGTTTGGGAACCACTTGTACTAACTGTTTAGTTGATTTATCTTCTATTTAAGGCTTATTAATTTTTAAGTAAAACAGTAAATTTTACTAGCATGAATGGTAAACAGGTGTAGTACTTTTCTCTTTTTGAGTCTTAGAAAATAGATGTATTTGAAAACGGCAAATTTATTTCCCTGTATGGAGTGAGTTTTCTAACTCCCAGTTAAGATAGCTATTAGAGACCATAGTTATTTGGTATTTATGATAAGTTTTTTCCTATCTTGTAGAATTTTTTTATAAAATAGCCTCCACATAGCTATACAGATAAAATTTGTATATACAGGCAGCCCTTGCTTTGCACAGTAGTGCAGGACTGTAAAAATGACAGAGCTCAGACCATGCAAAGGGAGCTTAATAATCGATGGGAGAAGTTATGATTATTCCATGAACCTTTAAAAAATGTTTGTCAAAACATTAAAACTCTTATTGTCAGTTACAGAAGTATGTGGAAATGAAAAAAATTATAAAACTAGTATTTAGTGCAGTAGAATTGAGGATTAAAGTGTTTTAAGAGTAGTTTGACCAGTCTGCCTTCCTCTCGTTGTGTAACTTAGGCTACAAAGACTCAAAAATAGCCATTTTAATGGAGCTTAAAATTTTCTCTCTTTACAGGTTAATCTCACTCTACAGATGAAGATACTAGAGCAAGAAAAAGAAATCGAAGAACTGAAGAAGCAGATACGCCTCCTCTCTCAGGACAGAGGGGTTAAGGATGACATGAAAGAGGGGGTGTGCCCCTCCAGCCTTAATTAGGCTCTATAAATGTGAAAGTGGACTTGAAAACTCTAAGCTGGTCAACTGGAATGTAAATTTTCAATCTTTATTAGGGTAAAGATGGTATAATACTTAGTTGTAATTAGTAAGCCTGTATAAGACTTATTAAAGTGAAGTTGTACCCCCAAACTGCTTTTTCCTTAAGTAGGTCTTTTATAACCTAGCATCTTGAACCTAAGACTGCTCTAAACTAAACCTATTCTGCTCTTTCCATTCTCCTGTCCCGCAAGCTCCTATTCCTGGATTTCTTACTTTCACTGTCCATCCAGTTTCTGAAACTAAGCATTTAGACATCCTCCTCAGTTCTTTCTCCTTTGAACTCGGCCTGTTGACCAAGTCTAAGCCTGCTCCCCACCCCATCACTGCCGACTACACACTAGCTGGACTGTTCCAGTTTTGACAGCTGCCAGTCTTCCTCACTCTGTCGCACTGCTGCCCGAGTTAATTACTAGAGAGAGAACTGATCAGTTCCCTCTGGCTCACAGCTTCTGCTGCCTCTGAGATAAAACTTCAACTTCTTGGCACAGTGTACATTATCCAGCCTATTTCTTTTCTCTTCACCTTCAACTTGGCATCATTGCAAAACTATGCCGTTTCAAAACTTTGTACTTCTTGCCCCCAAAATGATCCCAGAGCAGCTCTGTTTCTGGCGTTCCTGCCCCCGCACTGTTCCCGTGCTGTGGTGCCCTCTCCGTTACTCCGCCTCTCCACTCCCCGCCAGTCTACAGTCCTCAAAGGCAGCCCTGTGATATATGCATTTTTGTATCCCCGGAAGTGCCTGCCACAGAGCTGGCAGTTGTCATGGTATATTGCACACAATGTTGAATTTTAAATAAAAAGAAAACCAGAAATTATATGATGCTTTTATTGATAGTTGACAACTGGCCTAAATAAAGACTTTGATTTTAGTATGAGTTCTTTACCAACAACAGGCATGAAACAGCAGCACCACTCTTAAAACCTAAACCCTTTAAAATCAGTTACTGAAATTCACTTAAGGAGCCTAAGGGCAGTGTTGAAAGGGGCCAGGTTTTCACAGGCCCTCATCCACTTCTGCACGTTGGCTGGCGCTGGCTCGCTGCAGCCTCCTGTCTGCTGGAGCACAGACCAGAGCACGACGTCAGCCACGGTGAGTTCATTCCCCACGAGCCAGGGGCTCTTCCCAAGAGCAGAGTTCATGGAGCGGAACACAGCGGCTTTTTCTTTACTGCCTCCCTCTTTGAGCTGAAGAATAGCAATATCTACCCAGCTATCTATGAGGGTTAAATTTACAGCATTATGCTTCTGGCCAAACAGAGAGAACAAGAACCGTGCAATGTTCCCTTCTCCTTCAATGGGACACATCGTTTGGACACTGAATTTCATTTGAGTCTTTGGCACTGAAAGGAAAAAAAACACCATGTGATGTCAACAAGAGAAGTACACCGTGGAAAGGGGGTTCACTAATAATCATGAACTCGTGGCAAGGGAAAGTGTATTTTCAAGAAGAAAATCACATTTTTAGTCTGTCTCCAAAAGATGTAATACTCAAGAAAGTTTAAACTGTATGTTTAAAGAGTGCAAACTGTATGTTAAAGTAATCATTTCTGGTGTCTGATTACAACCGTTTTCAAGCTAGACGGGTCCTCAGACCATCTACTCCAACCCCTGTGCCTAAGGATCTGGAGGATGAGGACTGGAAACCAGGAGTCCCACCTTCCAGGCCTGGGACTCCTCCTGCCCTCACAATCACTCTATTAATGTGGAGCTGAGGGCAGCTAAGGCCTTAGTGGACGAATGACATTAACTCACTTCCCTCTGTTTGAACATAACCAGGAGAGGCACACATCAGTGGGATCATGAATAAGTCATATCCTGCCATCCTTTTATGGCCGTTTGAAAAGATAACATCAATGCCTCTGTAATGACAGGTTTGGGAATGTGAGGGCAAGATGGCTGTGACAGCCGTAACTCTGCTGCTCTGGCTGGTTAGACAGGATCCCCCCTAAAACTGTGCTCTCAGTCAGAGACCCTAACCTTGGAGGAAGGAGGGTATTTTGGATCAAGATTCATCTGTGCACATCTTCTGGAACTACCCCACAAGCTTTCTAGACTTTTGCATTGTCTGACCTAACACACGGTAGCTGAAGAGTCTGTTATCTGTAGGACATCGCTGTGCTAGCCCCTTGCTGCCTCTTACTAAAACCACGGTGCACGTTTCGTTCCATAGTGAACAGGTTTAACCCAGCCCTCTCTACTTACCGTTCTTCCAAATGAGAGTAAAACCCAGCTGATACTCATGACGGGGCTGCTTTTTAGTCTGCTCTCCAAAGCACCTGAGAAGGTTTTCTGGCACGCTCTTGACTGCAGAATGCGTGTGCACGGTGGACAGGACCCTGTAGTGGTCACAGAGCAGCTGGTGCAGCACGAGCAGGGAGAGGGGAGGGGAGGCAGGGTTCGCATTGATGACGATGTCTTTCAGTGCCCCGTAATCCTGGGGAAGCAGACCCAAACAGAACAAATAATAAAAACAGCAGTTTGTGTGTAACTGCACCAGGTGCTATTCTTAGATCTTAACCAGGCTCATTTAATTGAATCCTCAACTCCCACGGAGAAGGTGATGCTACTCTCACCTCACAGCCGTGTCCTGGGAGGTATGTCACTTATCCAAGGTCACCCCGCCCAGTAAGAGGAGGAGCTGGGATATGTGCCGATTCCAACCCCCGACCCCTGCACTGCTGGCTCCTGACAAATAAGTTGACTTTATTGCCAAATCAGTAAAATAATAGATTAGGAATGACACTTCTATTTGTCCCTAAGTTAAAAAAAAATTACACATGCAATTACTCCATTTACCAAATCTTTCTAACACCTGACAGGACATAGTTTCTACGTCAATTTGTTTTACTGAGTTATGTCTCAACGAAGAGTCCCTTGAAAAAGGGTCTTGGCTTGGGGCCGGCCCCGTGGTGTAACAGTTAAGCGCACACTTTCCACTTCGAGGGTTCGCAGGTTCAGATCCCGGGCGCGCACCGACACACCGCTTGTCAAGCCATGCTGTGGCGGTGTCCCATATAAAGTAGAAGAAGATGGGCATGGATGTTAGCCCAGGGCCAATCTTCCTCGGCAAAAAGAGGAGGATTCGCATTGGATGTTAGCTCAGGGCTAGTCTTCCTCACCAAAAAAAAGAGTCTTAGCTCAAATATCACTGGTGATGGGAGGTGGGGAGAGTCTAAAAACCTAGGTGTTAAGTGCCAAAATGTACTGCCTTTTTAGATGCAGACTTTATACATTCACTCTTAATAACAAATCAACTCATATAATACAACGAAGGCCAAATTCCTTGGCCTTCTGTACGCAGCCTGCCACAATCTGGCCTCTCGTCTTGCCACTGCTGACTGATGCCCTTCACACTGAGCTATAACGAATGCTCTGCAGTTCTCTGAACATGTTGTGTTACTTGATGCTGTGCCTATTGAGGTATGGAAATTCATCTTAAGTGCCTTCCCCTAAACTGGGAAGCCTTCCCAGCACCCTGAAACACACGGGCACAGCTGCGTGATCAACTAGATGGGCTCCCTAGGGGCCTGGCCGGGTCTCACTGGGTCCTGGGTGCATGCAAACACGTACTGGACGATGAAGGAATATGTGGGTGCACAGGTACCGAGGTTACCAATACTGAGCCCTGGGAGAGACACCGCAATACTGCCTCCACTTTTTAGGTCTTCAAGTAGTACTATTTCTTTTTTTTTTTTTTTTTTGGTGAGGTAGATTCGCCCTGAGCTAACATCCCTTGGCAATCTTCCTCTTTTTTTGCTTGAGGAAGATTATCCCTGAGCTCACATCTGTGCGAATCCTCCTCTATTTTGTCTATGGGATGCCGCCACAGCATAGCTGATGAGTGGAGTAGGTCCATGTCCGGGATCCGAACCAGCGAACCTGGGCCGCCTAAGCGTAGCATGTGGAACTTTAACCACTCAGCCACGGGGCCAGGCCCATAAGTTGTACTATTTCTATCATCAGTTCTAGAGGAGGGTATTAGCAGGGATTCTTGGGACAAACTCTTGCACCCTCAAAGAAATACGACTTTGTAATAAGACATTCTTCTTTGCATAACAGATTGGCCCCTAAATTAGATGAAGTCTGTAAACTGATCATTAAAGGTGGCTGATGCAACATAATTTCAACACAGCAAACTGAATTTAAGCAAAACACATTTGAAATATGAGACTGTGACTGGCTTTTAGCTATATATTTCAAAATTATTGGTGGAATTTTTGTGCCTGGGCAGGTAAAGCTCTGAAATTCAGGGTACTCTCAAAGAGTCAGGGTTGACTCTGCTGAACCTCTGAGAAGCACTGAGCAAACGAGCTAAGATCTGTTTCTCCAGGGCTCGGAGGCTGCTGGAAGGATGCCCAGCATTCTTGGGCCTGCGTCACACGCCACCTGGAATGGCGGGAAGTTGTAACTCTTGACTCCATTCTCTGCCTATGGATCCTCCCTGGTCTTCACTGGGTCTCACAAGTCACGAAGCAACTTTAAAGCTTGCTTTGGCTTCACTCATAGCTTATGAATCTGTTCTGTGCAAAGGTACAATCATTTAGAGGAGAAAAAAGAACATGCTCTTTGCACTACCTTTGAAAACTAGAAAATCAAGGCTATAATCATGCTAGCAGTTTTCCGGCACTAATAACAACCTAGCATGCTGATGTTCTTTAGCTTTCCAAATGCACTTACCTTTCCAAGCACTGAATTTAAGTCCAGAGCATTGGTCGATAAAGCAGTGGGCTCGGCAGCTTGGATGATGTTGGTTACGTCCAAGTCCGCGTCTGGCGTCTGAATCATCTTGGAGAGACCATCAACGGCAGCTTTCAATTCATACAGACGTTTTAAAATATCATCCTGGCGGGACTCAAGAGCTTGAAGAGATGGGTCAGACTCCTCCTAAACAAACCAACAACAAAGTGTTCATTTCCACTAACAGGGGAGAATTATGTAAGATTTGTTCTTCCTCTGCTTAAATCTGATCACTTGTTTTCTACTTAGTTCCATGAATTCATCCAACTTCCCACCTTTTAAAAGAAGACATTAAGGGCCCACCCCGTGGCTTAGCGGTTAAGTGCACGCGCTCTGCTACTGGCGGCCCGGGTTCGGATCCCAGGCACGCACCAACGCACCGCTTCTCTGGCCATGCTGAGGCCGCGTCCCACATACAGCAACTAGAAGGATGTGCAACTATGACATACAACTATCTACTGGGGCTTTGGGGAAAAAAAAGGAGGAGGATTGGCAATAGATGTTAGCTCAGGGCCGGTCTTGCTCAGCAAAAAGAGGAGGATTAGCCCGGATGTTAGCTCAGGGCTGATCTTCCTCAAAAAAATAAATAAATAAATAAAAATAAATAAATATATTTTCAAAGAAGACATTAAAATGAAATAGAATCATCTCATTTTTCCCACAGTCCAACAGGTCCTACAAATCAATCCTCAAAAGCTTTAAAACAAATAAAAAATGGTACTGAAAGTCACTTTGATATTGTATGAATCCTATTCAAGTAACTTAGTCTAAGAACAGAGAAGGATAGAAATGAACAAATTGTCGTTTAATTCTGAATATCAAACTAGTTCAAAATATGTTGCTTAAAAGTAGAAAAAGTTGGGGGGGCAATGAGAATGTAATCAATAATTTATACTAATAGAAGAGAAAAAGGAACACAGATAGATTAAAAAAAGGTGTCCTTTGGTTTGGAAGCATGTCCATGGGGTCAAATGATCAATTCCCCAAATCATTCTCAAGGCAGTACTGGCACTCTCATATCTTAGAATCATCTAGAACTTTTTCACTGCTGAAATGTATAACTTCATAAGTAGGGAATCCTTACATCCTTCATTCACTGAATCTTTGCATCTTTCTTGCCTAGTAGAGTGACTGGTACATAGTAAGTTACCAATAATACTATAATAATATAATATTTATATACTAAGTCTCAAATCTCTATGGACTCACTTTAAAAAGAAACCTCCCAATAAAGCACATACTACAACCTATTTCCAGACTCAGGAGCTCTTACAATAATCCATTTTGAGTTGAGAGCATAAAGAATACATAAAGCATTAGTAAAATGCTCATAACTAGACAGAAAAGTCAAGAATATGGCAATGACCTTGAATTTATTATAAATATGCACTCACGATACAATGTGAGTGTAGGAGTAGTACTTGTTCACATTTGTGTGTGGGTAAGTTTAAAGGTCTTGGGAACATCTGTTCCTCCCCTACTCACTCATAACATTGCCGTCTCACACAGATCCCATTCCTCACCCGGCGCTGTCAATTTTCTGGAATCCACTGGCTTCTAAGTGTGCCTCCACTGTCACTGCCCAAGTCCAAGACCCTATTATTCACCTGGCCTACTTCCACTGGTCACCTTGCACCCACTGTGGTCTACCCCCCCCATTCTCCATCCCTAGGATGGCAGCCAGAGACAAAACAAATGCAGATCCTGTCACCTGCTCCCCCTGGCTAACCTCTCAGGCTCTTAGGTTAAAAAGCAAAGCCCTTAACCCGGCTTGATAAATAGCTTGTATGACTGTCCTTGGCAGCCCCCTCTCACATATTTCTCCTCCTTGCTCTGCACTCTAGCCACACTGCCCTCTGGGTTCTTAAAACACACCAGGCCCCCACCTGCCACAGGATTTTTATTCATTCTGTTCCCTCTATCAGCAACACTCTTCCCTCTTCTCTTGTCTGACTAAATCGTATTTACCCTAGAGCTGAATCACTACTTTCTCACCTCTCCTCCCCTGCTGCTCTTGTTTAAGATCAAACTGCAAAGAAATGTAAGATGACTGACTTCTGGATGGAGCAAAGAAGAATAAAGAGTTCAGTATGCCAATTACATAAGTAGGCGCTGACGGGAAATGAGTTTGAATGCAAGATTGGTGACAGGTAGGGCTACCACCTATGTTATATCCTCATGCTACTCCATGATAGTCCTCCCGAGTGATATTTCCAATCTCTTTAACCAGCCTGTATGTGTTCGTTGTTTGTGCACAACCTTGCTCATTTCTACAAATGGCAGTAGGGTCCCTGCCCAACCAGGGCCAAAGAATCACCTACCGGATTCAAAACCCCAGTCAACACGCACTGAAGAACGTCTGAAATGTGTACCACATATGTCACTGCATAGGCCAGGCAGCCTGTGACTAAGAGCGCCAGCACAGCTTGATCTAGCCCCTCTTGATCTGCAGAACGAGGAAATGCTCCAGCTCTGCTCTACCTATCATACCTGTCAACGCTGGCCTGTTGTTTTCCTTGCTCAGGCTGGACTGTGACTTGGCATACTGTGTCTATCCATTTGTTTTATTTTATATGTATTTAGAAGCAGTGCATTCTTTGTGCTCTCATTTACCCTGGTAATGCTTGATTTCTAATTATCTGTCTATCCACATCATTGTCATCTGCTAGAGAAGTGGGACTGGGTGTCTTCTAAGATACAAGTTCACAGTTGAAAGCCCAAAGGAAGTTAGGCAGCAGACTTAAAAAAAAAAAACAACAAAAAAAAAAAACAGAAAGAAAGGAGTTGGTCTCAAATGAGATGTGACACTCTGCACTCCGGGTTTTCATTACGGTTCCATGGGACTGTCCAGTTGAGGGGCACTGGACCACACCTCCATAGGAGTCTCTAGTTGAAGGGGCACTAGACTATGCCTGCTATTTTTGTCTTAGCTCAGCAATGAGACAATTGTATCACTTGGTTTCAAACTAATCTAAGCAACTCTCTTCCAATCCAGGCAGAAAGCTGTTAAGACAAAGTGAAAGATAACATGACATGGGAAAACAGACCACACAAGTTACCTACTCACTCATCTTGAGTCAGAATGGACAGAAGGTTTCTCCTGCTGGAATTCCTAAGATGTGTACGTGCAATATTAAAAAAGTGAAAGGCTTGAGCAGGTACTTTATAAAAGTGCCAATCAAAATGACCAATAAACATGAAGAGGTGCTCAACTGATTCAGAAGTCTGGGAAATCTAAAACTACATTAGGATACCAGTGTACACCCATCAGCTTTGGGGAGAGCGCGAGGGTCAGGAACTCTGATACACTGCTGGTGAGAGCATCAACAGTATAACCACTTTGAAAGCAATTTATCTAGAAAATTGAAGACAGACCTGCCCACTAAGCCAGCAATTGCATCGCTTAGTATATACCCTATGCCTACTCGTGTAAAAGAATATTCACTGCAGAATATTCATACCAGCCTACAACGGAAAACCAGCCGACGTCCTGAGCAGAGGGATGGACAAACCCGTGGGGTACAGTCATGCGAAGGAACAGCAACACAGCGGAGAGAACGAAATACTTCGTTGATACACCAATAAATCGATTCTTAAAATCACGAAGCAGCAGCCAGACACAACAGAACACGAAGTGCATGCTTCCACTGACATCAAGACCACATAGTTTAGGGATGCATACTTAGGTGGCAAAATAAGAGCGAAAAGCGGGATATAATGACCACGGAAGTCGGGACTTTTGGGGGGAGGATTACAAGCGAGGCGCTGACAACTTGTGTTAGCCAGGGTGGTGGTGACCTTGGGGTTCGCTCTGTAATTCCTCAAAATATGCATTTACGTGTTATCCACTTTTCCGTGGGGAAAATTTCGTAACAAAAAAGTTTAAAAAGCCATAAGCGAAAAACAAATAGATACAAGATGGATAGGTCTTTTAATTGATAAAAATAGGAACAGGCGGGCAGGTGAAGCCGGGAGAGGCGGCCAAGCCGGCCCCCACTCCTAGTCCGAGCCAGGGGTTCCCATGGCCCCAGCCTAGAGGGACCCGGATGCCTAGAGCTCTAACCCCACCGGCCGGGCCACGGCGCTTGCCCATTGGGAGGCCGGGCGGCGGGGCGCAGCCTTGGCGCCTGCGCACTTCGCGGGCAGAGGACGGGGTGGTGGCGGGGTGGGGCCGCGCGCTCTTACCTGCACGTGGCCCACGTCCCGCACGGGGCAGCTGGTCCTGCCGTGCACTTTGGGGAGCCGGTACATGCAGGTGGGAAGCTCTACCTGGAGAGATTCGCTGCCCCCGTGATAGGGCTTTACCTGATACATCGGCATCTTGGGAACCAAAGGAGGGAAGGTGGCGGGGCAGGAACACGAACGTTCAGAAACTGCCCAAGACCACGACGGACTGCGACCCTAGCCTTTCCGTCCCAGCTGCAGGCGTTCCGGAAAGCGCAGTCCGTGTGCTCTAATTGGCCCTGGTCCTCTCGACGTCACCTCCTCGGCCTTTCACACAACCAATCAGCGAGAAGGAGAAATGGGAAGCTTTTACCGCCCCGTCCGGAAGGGGCGGGGCACTGTGTTGGAAGCAGCCAGTGGATGGCCAGGAGGCGGGGCCCCCGTGGGAGCGGAGGCGGGAAGTGTCCCGCAGTCCCAGAGGCGAGTCGGGCTGTGGATTCATGGAGGGAGCCGAGGGGCCCAGGTGAGCGGGGCTTGCAGTCTCCCCTCGCGGTCACCCCTCGCTAAGGCGCACGGCGTTCCAGAACCCTGGAAAGGAGGGAAGAGTGACCACGGCGCATGGCGAGCCCGCGGCACGGAGGCCGCGGAGTGGGCACCTCAGCGCTGCTCCGACCCGCAGCCTTTTGGGTGCCCCTTGACGTCGGGGTCAGCGGGGGATTCTGCCCAGACGCCCCCACACGTCCTTGGACCTGAAGTCGGAGCATGAAGTCCCAGTAGACTGAATTCATTTCCTCTTTAACTGATTTCTCTCTTTTTTTAGGGGTGGCTTCAAGGCACATTCTAATTTGCATTGCCGCACAGTTTTAAAAAATGCAGTACTTGTGTATCTCATTGAGTATGCGATTACTGGCTAGTAAGCTACACCGAATTCGGGGAAGCGAATCTTCGGCCAGCACTGTGGCGTTCAGTGTCAGATGAACCCAAATTCGCTACGTTTAAATGTTTTATTTCCCACTCCCTAAAATAAATATCAGAAGTAGCCTATGGTGTGTTGCCAAATAAACAAGTTTTTAGAGATACTTCTTTCCATTTTATGTGGTGTCATCTGCAGTTTTGACATTTAAGACAAAATTGAGTGAAAGTCTTTGCAAGGTAGAATGAAGTGTAAAGATGTTTGTTCCTTTATTTTACAAGGGTTTATTGAGGGTCTGCTATGTGTTAGATGGTGTGGGAAATACCCAAAGATTTTCCCAGAGATGCTCCTGTGTTCTGTTATACCCAAGTCATCAATTAAACTGTTTACTAGAAATTGCTAAATTAATGAACATATGGAATACTTCTTAGGATGAGCAGGAGTTTGCCAGGCAGATGAGGAAGACGGGAGCAGTCTAGACAGACCTGTGTAGACAAGGTGCAGTGTCTAAAAGAGCTTGTGATGTTGAGGAAACAGTTGTTCACTGTGACTAGAATGTAAGGGAATTGGTGAAGAGAGGAGGATTGGAGAGAATGAGAAATAAGGTAGAGTGGGGTCCACTTATGACTAGATTTTAAACTTCATGTGACAGTGAGATGCTAGTAAGTTTTTAAGCCAAAAAATTATTTGACCAGATTTGTGATTTTGAAAATAACTCTGGTGGTAGCATGGAGGTTGGATTGGATTAGGGAGAAAGTGGAGAAAACCAGTTGAAAAACTCTTAAAGCAGGGGCAACAAGAACTTTGAGGCCTTTGTGAAGGCAGCACCTGACAGCCTGGTTTTGGGGTGGGGATTCAAAGGCAGCACAGAGTACTGTAGTTAGAAAATTGCTAACCAGTGTCTAAGATGGTTTTGATTTTTACATAAACACTGTATATCCCACTGTACTCTTGGTTTTTCAAATTGTGTAAGAAATACTGCTTTCACTTTTCCAGAAAGAAGATCTCATTGTTGCAAAAAGTTAATGACGCATAGCTTGAGGGATACCTGTGTCTCCTCCATGTAGATCCCAGTATAATTAGATTTTAAATATCTATTACATTCGAAGTATCTAGTCACAAGGTTTTTTGACAGATGTTTAAGGATTGTAGAACAACATTTATATTTATCAAGATAGTAAATGGATATGTTAATATAATGAACATGTTAGACCCATTAACTATTAACAGAGATGAATCATTTAAACACACAGTTAAAACCAGGATGAAAATGCATAATTGCATACTTGCTTTGTTTCTTGTAACTGGTTTCTTTAGTACAGAACTTGCTAAGGCCATCAGACCTATTGATCGGAAGTCAGTCCATCAGATTTGTTCTGGGCAGGTGGTCCTGAGTCTAAGCACTGCTGTGAAGGAGTTGGTGGAAAATAGTGTGGATGCCGGCGCCACTAATATTGGTAAATTTGGGAGTTTTAAATTGTGAGAAATAATCAGTTTACGCTATTTTATTCAAGAAACATTGTCTTACTGTAATAAGACAATCAAGTGTTGGTATACTGAGAAATTATTATTTTTTAAACTTAAATTTAGCATCTATTATGTGCCTAGTACTTAGCTAGGTAGTAGTAATAATAATAGCAGTTAACTTTTATTGCATTCTTGCTATGTGGCAGGCAGGCTTGGTGCTAAGAACTGTAAATGGGATACCTTATTTAATCTGCAGAATAACCGTGTGAGATAGGAATTATTATTATTGTTATTATTATCTCCATTTTACAAATGAGGAAGTTCAGGCACAGGGTATTTCCTGTTTTTGAGATTATAAAGCTAGTAAAATACGATCCCAAGAAGTCTGATCCTAGAACCTGTTCTTTTTAATGACTATGTTAAAATTATCCTTTGAAAGAAAGAAAGAAAGAAAAAACTAACTATTTTATCTGGGCCAGTAAAGAGCCAAGACGAACTTGACAAAATAGCGTACAAAATGACAATAGTATGTTTAAATAAATATAGTTATGACTCTTAGATTTGTATTATGCAAGTTATAAATACTGTCAATTATAAAGGCTTTTAGCATGGGTCAATTTGCAAAATAAATATTTTAAACTTTTTAGATCTAAGGCTTAAAGACTATGGGGTGGATCTCATTGAAGTTTCAGACAATGGATGTGGGGTAGAAGAAGAAAACTTTGAAGGCTTAAGTAAGTTGAATTTTTTTAATCCTGTTTTAAAATCTTTGGGCAAAATGTCTCAAAATTTTGAGTAATGCTGTCTTAAGAAACACAAAAACTGCTTTTTAAAACCAATTACTTTGGTAGGTATTGTGTATATTCATTGCTGTATCACTTGAGATATCTTTGGCCTTACTTTACACCTCTCTTTCAGCTCTGAAACATCACACTTCTAAGATTCAAGAGTTTGCTGACCTAACTCAGGTTGAAACTTTTGGCTTTCGGGGGGAAGCTCTGAGCTCACTTTGTGCACTGAGGTGATGCGATATTTTTATCCACTAACTTGACCCCTTATAAAATTCTCTCTGGAAAATTAAAAAGTATGATTAGAATCATTATTGTTTACACTTTTCTATCTGAATGTCTCAACTTCTAACTTCTGCATTCTGTTTTATCTTACTACCAATCTAAGTGGTAATATAAATGTAAGCAGTGAAATGTAAGCAATGAATGAATGAATGAAATGAAGCAAATATTATTGTAAAAAAATTGTTACCTTTTTTTTTTTTTTTTTTTGCTGAGGAAGACTGGCCCTGGGCTAACATCCATGCCCATCTTCCTCCACTTTATATGGGACACCGCCACAGCATGGCTTGCCAAGTGGTGTGTTGGTGCGCGCCTGGGATCCTAACGGCGAACCCCAGGCCGCCGCAGCGGAGTGCGTGCACTTAACTGCTTGTGCCACCCGGCCGGCCCAAATTGTTACCCTTTTTAAGCAGTAACTTCTCCATTTTAAAATAACACATAGATCATAAATTATTGATGCTATTGGTTTTAATTTATTTCAATGTTTAAGAAAAAATTTAACTGAAGCCCTTATACAACAGATTCTAAATTTTTGTAAATAATTTCTTATACATTTGAACTGTAATATCTTTTGAATCCTTTTTTAAAATTTTATTAGGACAGTAGTAACATAACTGAGAAATAGATCTTTATTCATGAATATCTAAGTTTTGAGATCTTTTATTGTTTTGCAGTTTAACCAAAAAAACAAATATCAAAGCTTTTATCAAAACAAACCATTTGCAGAACTCTTTCACTATCTAGTAGGTGTCAAACCTTGGGTTTTATGATGATTCCCCACCCATTTAAAGCCTCTTGATGATCTCAGAGGGAATGTCATTTTTTTAGGAGAGTTTAGAGAGAACAGAAGTGAGAAAATGAGCCTGTGATGACCACCACCCATGAGTCTCTAACTGACCGTGCCTGCCTGGCATCTCTTACAGTGACGTGACTATTTCTACCTGCCACGCATCTGCAAAGGTGGGAACTCGACTGGTGTTTGATCACAATGGGAAAATTGTCCAGAAAACCCCCTACCCACGGCCCAGAGGGACAACGGTCAGTGTCCAGCAGTTATTTTACACACTACCTGTGCGCCATAAGGAGTTTCAGAGGAATATTAAGAAGGTACAGTAATTTCAGAATCCCAGTTCCCAAGAACACTGACAGTGTAATGTGCAGATGGAGTTAGAGATCTCCTCGAGTGGTTTACTCTTCAGTTGATTCTCTTCCCTTAAGTTTTTGAGAAGCGCTTGGTTTGCTTCTTCCCCTCAAAGACTTAACTTTAGGATAATTTATCCTTTCTTTTTCTTGAAAAGAATCATAAAATTGTGTTTATTAGGTGTCCTAACATGGGAAATGAGTCTTTTAAGAAATAACATTATTTTCAGGTTCTGTCTTAGTGTATATGTAATCATATATACTAATCTATGTAGTGTATATATGTAATCATATATACTGTTTATATACTATATGATTACAATTTCATAAAAACAAAGCAACTGGCCTAAATATGCATAGATAACAGGCTAGCAGAGTGGACACGTGACTGTTACCAGTGGTTATCCTTGCATGTGAGAGCATATCTACTTTTTGCTGTCTTCTTTGTGCTTTTCTGTTTTGTACATATATTTTTTATAATCAAAGAAGTTACTTAAACATATGCAGCTAAAAACTTTCTTTACTGTAAGGCAATTTGTGCTAGTTATAACTTTATTAAATTTTACAAAAATATATACTACAGAGAAAACTTTAAATATAATTTTTTCTTTTTTATTTAAAAAATAAAATTTTTGTACAGAGAAAATTTTTATTATTATTTTTTGTATCTTATGGTAAAAAATTAATGTCTCAGAAAATGTAGGAATAAAAAACCTGTCCCTGCCAGAGATGACCATTGTTAACAGTTTGATGTGTCTTTCCAGACTCCTTTTAGTTTCATGTATTTATAAATCCTGGAAAAATTTCGAGATAATTGATGTAAGGAAATCAAGCAATACAGAATATGAAACATTTAAGTAGTATGGAATTATATGTGGTAGAAAGTTGATGTTGTCTCTGCCTACCTCCCAGAGTTTGGTTTATAGCCTTCAGACTTTAAATGTATACATGTATATACAACCTTTATGCATATGTTTCTATTTTCTTAACAATTAGGATCATATAAAATGTACTGTTCTATAACTTTTTATATAGTATATTCTAGATATCTTTTTTGGTCAATTCGTACTACCTTATTATTTATCATTCCACCATTATATGGATCTACCATAATTAATTAGCTCCTTGTTGGTGGTTGCTTAGGTTGTTTCTAATTTCTCAAAATTACAAATTGTTTCATTTTTGTAATACATCTTCAATTGTTTGTGCCAGTCTTTCTGCAAGGATAAATGTCTAGAGGTGGGATTACAAGGTCAAAGAGAATGTACTTTTCAATTTTTATAGCAGCGGGCATGGACATTTTAGAATTGAGAGAAGTGTGACTGAGAACCAAAGCCTCTGAGTTCCCTTTTATACAATGTAGGGAGATGCGATTCATGGGGCCTTCTGTCAGGAATAATTCGCCTTATTTGTGAGATAAGAGAGCCTTGAATTGGATGTTATAACTTGAACCATGTAATTCTTGTAAGCCTAAAGTAACATTGAGTCTTGCATTTGTGTTTTTAAACAGGAGTATGCCAAAATGGTCCAGGTCTTACAGGCATACTGTATCATTTCAGCAGGCGTCCGTGTAAGTTGCACTAATCAGGTCGGACAAGCAAAGCGACAGCCTGTGCTGTGCACGAGTGGAAGCACCAGCATCAAGGAGAATATCGGATCAGTGTTTGGGCAGAAACAGGTAGTGGTGGCCAGTTGTTTAAAACATTTTATTGCTCTAGTGATTATGGCAGGTTTCCATAGTCCTTTCCAACAGAATAGAGAATAAAATCCAAGAATTGATTTTTTTATTGGTACCTATCACAAAAATTAATGTTGAGAGCTGAAGGTGTTTTTATTTTATTCTTCCACAGAATGAAATAATCCATTTACTCTCCTGAATTTAACTCTTTCTCACATGACTAATTTTTGCTCATAGCTGCCTCTGGTGCTTCATAAACACATTGCTTAGGACAGCTCTAAAAGAGTTATGCAGATTCATTAGACTAGAGAATTTCTTTTAAGCATTGGCATCTGTACCCACTGGCATTTGCCAATAATAATCCCCCAACTATAGATGAATGTGGGCAATGTATTGATTTTGGATAAGTAGGAGCTCAAGTGTTTCATCTTTCTAATGAAAAAAAATCAAAATTACAGCACTGTAAAAAGCAGCTATTGAGATTCTTTGTGTTTCCTTATGTTCTTAATGTGGATAGCTTGACTAGGAAGGAAAACACAAACCGTTCCATATCTTCCTTTCTGAACTTAGTCTATTCTCTCTTTATTAGGAAATAACTGTGGGTCTTGGTTTCTTCTAGTTGCAAAGCCTCATTCCTTTTGTCCAGCTGCCCCCTAGTGACTCCGTCTGTGAAGAGTACGGGCTGAGCTGTTCTGATGCTCTGCATAATCTGTTCTGGTAAGTAGATTCCTGCCAGGAAAATTGCAATTGAACATTTTTTCTTGAGCTTTTTGCTTTTTTGTTTTTTATTTTTAAAGATAGTGATTTCAAGGCTTATAGTTTCTTATGTCCACTATAAAACTGGGCAATATTACTGCTGAGACAGAGGATTTATACAAAGGACTCAGTTACTTAATTCAAACAATATTCTGGGTAACTGGTGCATTTTGGGGGGTTTCCGATGGAATTAGTCTTTATAGTAAAGGCTCTGTTTAGTGAACAGTTAGAATAACTCTTAAATTACTTTATGTATACTGTTTCTTTTTATTGGGATCTGGCAGAGAACAGTAGAGGCTGTGTTTCCTTTAATTCATGCCTGACCCACAGTCCAGTCCAGCATCATTACTTTTCGTGTAAAAAAAGTAGGCATTCTCCGTGAGTAGGATTGGCCCTCTGACGGTCCATATTGCTTACCTTCCCTCCGCTTGCCCTTTGCTTATGCCTGAAATTAAAGATGGGGATTCATTTCTTTATGTTAAGGTATTGATCTTATGGAAATGCAAATATCCCTGAGGTAGATCTCAGGTAGAATAAACACTTTACCTACACCTTAGTAGATATAAGTTTGCTAACCGAGAACAGATTTTAAAAGGGCAGGCAGTGTGGGCAGAGATCCTGATTACAGCATGAAGGTTCTGAGAATGTGAGTTTGAGGTGAGACCCACTCCTTCTGTGGAGCCCAAGGACTTCACAGGGAAAGTGAGAGGAGAGCTGAAGTGAACCAGTTTTGAACCCACTGCATTGCCCGTGGGGGATTTGTTGATGATATGAGCTTTAGAGCATTCTATAGGGTCTGTGTTTTTTTAATGATTCATCAGAATAGAGCACAGACACATGTTAACTGAAATATTAACATTATCAGCATGTCACCAGGTGTTAGGTTTTTATTTTTTACTTTAAGAATGTGCCATTTGATATGTGCTTCTAATCCTTTTCGTTCTGGAATCCTGCCCTTACTGTATTAACACTGAACAGTATCTCAGGTTTCATTTCTCACTGTACTCATGGTGTCGGAAGGAGTTCAACAGACAGACAATTTTTCTTTATCAATCGGCGGCCTTGTGACCCAGCAAAGGTATTTAACGTTTTTTTTGTATTAATTTTTTCTTTTTGTCTTTAACTTTTAATTTTATTTATTATTTAGTAACTGTCTCTGGCACAGGTAATTTACGTGGAACTTGGGAGGTTGACTCAGAAACATGGCTTTAGATTATCTTATTTTAGACACTTAGAAAAGTCTACTATACAGTTGCTTCCATTATATTTGTGTGTGTGCATATATATATGTACACATATTAGTAACCAATATATTTATCATCATAAAAATTATCACTGTTTGGGCTGGCCCAGTGGCATAGTGGTTAAGTTCAGCGCACTCTGCTTCGGCCGCCCAGGGTTCGTGGGTTCAGATCCTGGGCATGGACCTATACCACTCATCAGGTCATGCTGTGGTGGCGACCCACATACAAAATAGAGGAAGACTGGCACAGGTGTTAGCTCAGGGCCAATCTTCCTCACCAAAAATTAAAAAAAAATTATCCCTATTTGGACAAAGTAAACATTTCAAAACATTCACCATTATCTAGACTTTTCAGTATAGACTGACACACATCATATTCTTCTGTATTTTTTCTTCCTTCTCTTTATTTTCCAGGAAAATAAGGGCCCAAATTACTCTGCCTCAAACTTACACTGATCATCCTGGTATGGTTACAGGGTTTTTAGTGGTTCGGTTTTGACTGTGGATCTTCAGCCACATTGTACCTCAGTTAGAGTTTCTGTTTTCCAGGGACACCTAAAAATTACTTCTGTCTACCGGATATGGTTCAACTTCTACATTTTTAACTGATATTGTGATTGGTGTGATTTTTATGGTTTATCTCTAATGCCATTTAATTAATCTCATTATAAAGTCATATAAATACGTTTCTGTGTACATTGGAATGTGTTTTATGAGCATTTAAACTGCACCTACCTTTTACTGACATTTCTTCAGGAACATCTTTAGATTGGAAAAAAATTCAGTTTTAGGAGTCTATGATTAAAAATACCCCTTTGAGGGACACAAGGAAGCTCTTTTGGGTTGGGGATATATTCATTATCTTGATCGTGGGGATTGTTTCATTGGTGAATACATATGTCAAAACTTATCAAATTGTACACTTCATGTGCAGTTTATTGCAGGCCAGTTATACCTCAATAAAGCTGTTAAAAAATGTATCCCTTTGGTGGCTGGTGACAAGAGCACATTGTTAGAACACTGGGGGAAGGGAACATGTATTCTTTTCTAATCTGTGTTTTTTGTGTAGGTTTCCAGACTTGTGAATGAGGTGTATCACATGTATAATCGACATCAGTACCCATTTGTTGTGCTTAACATTTCTGTTGATTCAGGTAAGTTCTACTGAGGTTTCAGTAAAATTGGTGACTTACTCCTAAAAGAATAAAATGAAATTATAAAGCTCTGATATGACTGGAAAGAGACTTTTGTAGTAACAATTAAATGGCAATGTATTTATTTTTATAGACTTTTTATTTCATAGATTTTTATTTTATGTTTTATACAGACTTTCCTGCTTTCTGCTTGAAACTACATTAATTGTATTATTAGGAAAATGTAACTTTTTCATGTCAGCCAAGGGAGAAAGAAGACTAAAAGTTCTCCTTGATTTTGAAAATAATTCATTTCATATTTTTCTTCTGATTGTTAAAATTCTGGTTTCTTGTTATCCAATATTTTTTCTAGATACTTAGAAATATCTGTGTGCATGGGCCGGCCCTGTGGCTTAGTGGTTAAGTGCGTGCGCTCCTTTGCTGGCAGCCCGGGTTCGGATCCTGGGTGCGCACCAACACACCGCTTCTCCGGCCATGTTGAGGCCGCGTCCCACGTACAGCAACTAGAAGGATGTGCAGCTATGACATACAACTATCTACTGGGGCTTTGGGGGGGGGAAAATAAATAAAGATCCTCATCAGATCAGTCTTTAAAAAAAAAGAAATATCTATGTGCATACCTTAAAAAATATATAATGATATATATATATCTATATTTGGGGTGAGAAAATAATTTTGGTTAATTTTTGTATCCTGCTCTTTTTCCATAGATGTGAACATTTTCTGTTCCATGTCAGTAAAAATTATTTAGAAACATGATTGTAATAGCTGCATTCATTATATTCCAATGTATGGATATACCTTAATTTTTAAATGTTTTTACTTTTTAGCTATTTAAGTTGTTTTCAGTTTTTGGAAATTTAAATACAGTTCTTATAATGTAATCATTATCTATATCTTTGATTATTTCTTTAAGGTAAATTCCTAGAAGTAGAATCACTGGGTCTGTGAATATGATCATGTTGTACCAATTTACACTTCTACCAACAATGTACTAGGTCTTATACTTTTTAACCATATTCAGTAGGTGATGAAATGATATATTATTTTAGTTTGCAGTTTTATTATACATTTTCATGTATTTATTTGCTCTTTTTCTTTTGCAATTTACCTATTCAAATACTTGCATATTTTGTCTGTTTAAAAAAGTTGTTCATCCTTTCCTTGTTTGTTTGAAGAAGTAATTTTGTAGTTTATGAATAATAATCTGGACACTGTGATGTTTTTAATAGTACCTTTGGTGAGTCCAAGTGAATAAAATAGTAGATGGGGAAATTTCTCTTGTTAAAGGTGAATTTAAACATGATGAATATCTTTTCTCTTTTGCCTTAGAATGTGTTGATGTCAATGTTACTCCGGATAAAAGGCAGATTTTACTACAAGAGGAGAAGCTTCTGTTGGCAGTTTTAAAGACGTCTTTGATAGGAATGTTTGATGGTGATGTCAACAAACTTAATGTAAATCAGCAGCCACTGTTGGATGTTGAAGGTAAGAAAAATACAAGTATATGAACAGCTTCTAAAACTTATAGCCATTGTGATACCTTCCTTATTTTTTCTGTGGTAAAGTTTTTTTGACATGAAACAAAATCTCCTCTTTTAGACAGAGAGGATATGTCACTCTAGAAAGTATGTATCTGCAGATTTAAGGTAATCTGATTAAAAAGAGACATGAGCAACCACATTTAGCACACACACGAGTATGTTCTTACCAAGACTCAACTGTTTTTTTTTTTAATAAACACTCCCTGATTGCTGCAAACTTTTTGTTAATGTCCAGGGTTCTGAAAAAGTTAATTTTGACAGTTTTTGTCAGTCTTCTCATTCTTTTTATGGAGGAGGGAAATTTTGGAGGCCCTCATTCTGCCATTTTCCCTCACATCGCCCCTGTGCCTTCTTCAGAGTGGCATGTTGAAATCAGGGCTGCCGCAAAGCTGGTTTGACATTTGTAATAATATGCACAATCATTATTTCACTACTTGGTCATAAATGATCAGCCATTTATTTAATAAGTTAGTTTTATTCTTTTTCATCCAAACCGGGTGCATCCAGGATATCTGGGAGAGGACCAGAGTTGAGCCCCAGCTGCCTTTCTTGGCAGAGGGAAGAGTGGGCCATTATCCCCTCTGACAGCCAGATCCACTCCTTGGGGTGGATGCTCTCTTCTCTAGGCCAACCTGCCCCTGATCTCCATGTCTGTACGTGCAGAGATGCAGGAGTGGGTGCCCATCACTGTGTCCTCCAAGGGGAAAAAGATCAGAGAGCTGTTTGGTGGAAAGCTAAGGTGACAGATGAGTATGGGATGTGGCTTTGTAAACTGAGGGTACCAGGAGCCATAAGCCAGGGGTTTATGAAAGGGGCGAGATACAGAGTGGCTCTGTCCTAACATTTCCTAACACCCCAAGGGTGGGGACAGGTCGATTTGGAAGACAGTAGGCAGGCTCTCGTAGAGTGCCATGGTGGGCAGTTTTGATAATCAGAGGATGTGGTGGAGGCACAGAGCTCCCAAGGGGTGAGGTGGGGCTGCTGGGTGGTAGGAGAGGAGCACAGAAATGCTGACGTTAGTGTGGCAGAGCCATTGACTTCTACGTGGTAGGTCCCATGTCTCTCCTGGCCCTTCTCTGTGTGGGATATTATGGATGTGTATGTGGGGGGCAGGGAGTGGAGGATGGTGGGTAGCACACACATCTTTGTGGACTGGGCCAGTGGTGGCATCTCTGAATTCTCTCACGGACACTTTGCCCAAGAGGCTACCCCATAAAGAGAAGCTGCTCACCATATCTGTGCATCTTGAAGCACAGTTGAACCAGTGCTCTTCTTTTAGCCATTTTATTGAACTGTAGCATTCACACAGAGACAAACATATCTTAAGTGTATGACTTATAAGTGTATCAGCCCGAGATCAAGAAAGAGCACCCACAGAACCAGCCTGTACCCCTTTTCATACAATGACCCCCAGTGGTAACCAATTTCCTGACTTCTAACACCATACATTTGTTTTATCTGTTTTTAATTTAAAGTTATCCAGTATGTACTTTTTGTGATTTGTTTCTTTCTCTCCATATTTTGTGAGATTCATCCAAGTCATGTGTAGCAAGTAACTGACTCATTCTTGTTGCTGTACAGTATTCCATTGTATTTTGAATACCACGATTTATTTGTGCACAATTGGCTTGTTTCCACTTTGGGGCTGTGATGAATAAAGCTGTCGTGAAGATCCCCGTCCATGGCTTTGCACAGGTGGACATTTCTGATGGCGGTAGCAATGCTGGGTCACAGGCGTGTGTGATAGATTTAGGAGATGTTACTCCTAGGGAGTTTACAAAGTGGTTGTGCCAGTTGTAGTACCACCAGCAGTAGCTAGTATTCCATTTGATCATCATCCCTGTAATCATTTGTTGTTTGTTTAATTTTACCCATTCCATGGGTATATAGTGGCATCATATTGTGGTTTAAATTATATCTCTTTATGATTAATGTAGAACAGTTTTCGTAGGTTTTAATTAGCCATTTGAATCTCTTTTTTTGTGAAGTGCTTGTTCACATAAAAATATGCTCCTATTTCATTTCGGTACAATCCCTGATACTCTTCTCTGTTCATATCTACTCAGGTAATTTAATAAAAATGCATTCGGCAGAGATGGAAAAGCCTCTGCCAGAAGAGCAGGAGAATCCCACTTCATTAAGGACCCGAGGAGAAGAGAAAAGGGCAGTGAGCATTTCCAGACTGAGAGAGGCCTTTTCTCTTCGTCACACAGGAGGGAACAAGTCTCAGGGCCTGAGGACTCCTGAAACGAGACGGATTTCTCCAAGACAGAAAAGAAGTGGACCGTTTCGTAGCACTTCTGACTCCCTCTGCCTGCTGAAGCCCGTCTCTGGCATAGGCTCGTCCAGCCCCCAGGAAGAGGCAATGAGCTCAGAAAAGGGCCCCTGTGACCGCACGGACAGAGTGGAGATGGAGAAGGACTCGGGGCATGGCAGCACTCCAGCTGGCTCAGAAGGAGGGTTCAGCACCCCAGAAATGGGCAGTCACTCCAGCAGTGACCGGGCAGCAAGCTCCCCTGAAGACAGGTTTTCACAAGAAAATGTGGAGTCTTGTGAGAAGGTACCTGAAACTGGCCATCGTTTTTCAGACGCGGAACGCCATTTAGACCAAGAAAAGAGTGGATATAAGTTTAGAGTTTTGCCTCAGCCAGCTCATCTTTCATCCTCAAACACAAAGCGTTTTAAAAAAGAAGAAACCCCTTTAAATTCTGACATCCCTCAAGAGGTGGTTAATACTCAGAACATGTCAATGCCTCAGGTTGACGTGGCTGTTAAAATTAATAAGAAAATAGTGCCCCTTGACTTTTCTATGACTTCTTTAGCTAAACGAATAAAGCGGTTACATCGCCAAGAACAGCCAAGAGACAGTGAACAGAATTATAGGAAGTTTAGGGCAAAGATTTGCCCTGGAGAAAATCAAGCCGCAGAAGATGAACTAAGAAAAGAGATAAGGTAAAGTTTTTTCTTGAGTGTTTTTGCTCATTTTAGTGAGTTGCTGTGAGTGAAGCAAAGGCCGATCCTTCCAGGCTCTGTTTTTGCTCCTCTGGGTGTCTTCTGCCCTGATGGCATCTCTTCTTCTGGCTCGGGGCTCTCGTGTGGCCCTGCCTTGGCACCACGGTCTGCTCCTTGGGCTCCTGCTGCCTGTCAAGATGGTCCTGCCTGGGGGTCTTCCCTGCCCCATAGACTTGAGGTATCCTAAATCGTCAGACCTGCCAGCAGTTCTCTCCCTTGCTCTCTCCTTTCTCAGGGCTCCCTCTCGCGGATTCTGATTTTGGAGTCAGTTGTGACTCCACGGATTGCTCATTGGCCTTACCAATACATCCTCGGTGATGTTGTTTTCCATTCACCAACTTCTTTTCATTGCCTCTCACATCCATCAAATTAATTTTCTGTAAAGAACTCTTTCACTGTGCCATTCTGCTGCCAGAAACCTTTCAAGAATTTTACCTTAGATTTTTTAGCATATCCTGTCCATCAGTCCAAACTAATCAACGCCTTCTTGACCCTGATTGCATGCCTCTTCCTGAAGGTTTTCAGCCCACAGTGACTTCTTCCTGCATTGAATTCATGGCAGTTTTGGTGGACATTGCTATTTCCCATTTTTCATTTTAATGTGTATCAGGAAAAATTATAACATTGTCAGACCTGTGATTTCAAGAAGATTGCATAGCATAAGGCTAAGTAAAAAAGGGAGTCAATTTAAAGAAAAATATTAATCATACAGATAATAAAAACACTAGTTATCACCACTTTCTTGGCAGTAATCATGTACAGCATTGGGACTTTTAAAATGATGAATTCTCTTGAAATATTTAACTTTTATCTTTTTCAACTTTGTACGTGTTTTGTCTCACCAGTTACTGAAATGCGCTGTGTCCTGTCCACGGTGCAACTCAGTAATTATTTTGAAATTTATAGCACTTCTAATTTGGACCACACAGTCTTTGTCTAATTTAGATGGTAAATTCTTCAAAAACGAGTATCGTATTATATATACATTGTGCCTAGCTTACATTGAGAAAGGTTTTCAGGAAGTATTTCCTTCAAAAAGTGTAATTAATGGAGACGAACTTCTCTGGATGTGATCTGGGAACTGTGGACTCTGAGGGACCCAGGGAGGAGAGCCAGGTTCCTTCAGACACACGTACACGCTCACACACACAATCATCGAAAGTATGTGGTTGATAGGGAGAGACGTGTTAAGGTACCCCAAATTAAAGCCAGTTATCCTTTATCTTTGGATTCTTTTAGCCCTCTCAGTGAGTGAAATCAACTGTAATATTTGAAAATAGAGATTTTAACTAATTCAACCAACATTTATTGATCACCCGTTATCGTGGTTCATGAATTCTGGTACACGTAAGAATCACCTAGGGCGCTTATTGAAAAAGCAGAGCCTGTGGCCAGCATCCAGAGATTCTGCTTCGGTCCATCTGGAAGATCTTGGGTGTGGAGCCCAGGAATCTGCATTTTTGACAAGTGCCCCAGGTGGTCACTTTGAGAAACCCTGGTCTGCGGCGGGCCTGGCAGTGGCTTCTGGCTTTCAGTGCATGGCTGTCGGATTGGCTGTGCCCCTGTTCTGAGCTGTTGTTCTGACAAGGCGTGGTATGGTTTACTTTTTCCTGAGAAACACATTTGGAGCTAAAGATTAGGCAGTAATTGAAGATACTGAGGTAGTGTTTACCAGCTCCTATTTCTGTATTTTGAATTACAACTAAATACATCAAGTTGTAAAGTTTTGTTTCTTCTTCATTGTTTCTTTAAGGCAGATGCTCCTTTTTAGTTTATAGTGAGATTACCAGCCAAAGACACAGAAGACCTGGGTCTTCAGGTGGGCACAGGTTCTTCGCATAGGGGGTCTACCTGGGAACCACTGTACTCAGACAGTTCCTGGGACAGCGTGGAATCAGAGCCAGGGAGTTGGTATTTTTGCCAGTTACCAGTTTGTTGCCTCTCAGCTCCAATTCCACCCTTCTTGGCTGTGCTTTGCCATCCTGGAGGCTAGACCATGTAAGCGTTTCTCCTGGTGCGCTGTTAGACTTTATCAGTAGGGGGCGCTAGAGGGACTGCAGGACAGCAGGAGCAGCCGCTTCTCTCCTTGCTTCGGGGGTATCGTTTTCTTCTGTAAGGCAGCCACCAGCAGCGTGCAGGAGGCCCAGCATTGCTCACTGGAATACTCTGGCAAACTTCTCTTCACGCAGTGGGCTGCAGCCACGCCTGTTCCAACAAGGTCTGAAGCTCAGCCTGGGGGGAAGGCGGTGCTCTTCCAAGAGTCCCCTCTTTGGACACTCTGCCTCATCCCTGCAGGTGTGGCTGCTTTCTGCATTTGGTACTCCTGTATTTCTTAGCTTAGTGGTTAAGCTAAGTTGTCTCTTGATTGGACTGTGATGATATGGAATTAGTACCAGGAATGGTCCCACGAGACAGACCCTCAAAGGGGGGTTCTGGTATTGGTTTGGTCGTGACCTTGGACTTGAGCTCCCTGCCAATAGGAAATGGGAGGTTAGTAATCCCTGGCATGCAGAGGCATCGCAGTTTGTCAGATTACCACCTGTGGTTGATTGTGATTCGGCGCCAGTGAACGCACGTGCCTTGGGAGCCCGAGTGGCTGCTGTGGTGAGGATGATTACAAGCACTGGGGTGTGGGCTGGACCTTCCTCAGTGCACTGGAGCACTGACAAGAAGAAGTGACAGTCTCAGGGCCTTTCATCCTCAGCTCAAGTCACCGTCGGAGAACCAGAGAGCTTCCACAGCGGCTCTAACAGAATCTCATTTCCTGTAGGCACAGGGCTGATGCTGATGAAAATCAATTTTCACAAAATTTAATTGTGCGGGTTGCAGAATTACAATGTCAGTTTCTCATATGAAGGTTAGTGGTGGTGTCTGCCTCTAGTCTGGACTGACTTATATAGTCATTAATGGCATTAGATTTTGAAGCCACCCAGCAAAGGACCCACTGGTGATCTTGGCAGATCTTAGAAGGATTGATACCCAGTTCTGGCAAAAAGGAACTCTGGACACTGTTGGTAGGAGTGTAAACTTTTACAGATCTCATCAATATTAAAAAATGTACGTACATAATTCCACTTCTAGGGATTTATCATACAGAAATACTCCCACAAGAGAGCAGATTTATGTACAGGAATGTTTGTTGCAGCTTTGTTTGTATTATTCAAAATGGACACAACTGAAATGTGCTTTATTAGAGAATTTGTTGGACAAATTATGGTACATCCATGTGATGAATTCCTAGATAGCCATTAAAAACAATGAAGTAGATCTGTATGTATGGGTCTGAAAAAATACCTAAGATGTGTTGTTAAGTGATGAGTAGAACAGTATGAAGAATTATGATCCCATTTTTGTTTTTTTAAAACAATTACTGTATAGACAAAGGTCTGTTGTTAATAGTAGTAACTATTGTCATTGGAGAGTTGGATGAATGAATGAATAACCTTGAGAAAGTGGGATTATTAGGACCTTTCTCTATGTATTTTTTTATTACAGTGTTTGTTTTATAATCAGAAAAATAATCTTTTAAAATGTCTTATAATTAACATTTTCTACACGCAGTAAAACAATGTTTGCAGAAATGGAAATCATTGGTCAGTTTAACTTGGGATTTATAATAACCAAACTGGATGCCGACATCTTCATAGTGGACCAGCATGCTACGGATGAGAAATACAACTTTGAGATGCTGCAACAGCACACTGTTCTCCAGGGTCAAAGGCTCATAGCGTAAGTTCATTTTAGTGTTCAGAATTCTTTTTTTTTTTTTTTTTGTGAGGAGGACTAGCCCTGAGCTAACATCTGATGCCAATCCTCCCCTTTTTTCTTGAGGAATAGTGGCCTTGAGCTAACATCCGTGCCCATCTTCCTCTACTTTATATGGTACACCGCCACAGCATGGCTTACGAAGCGGTGCGTCGGTGCGCACCCGGGATCTGAACCTGCGAACCCCGGGCCGCCGAAGCGGAGCTCGCGCACTTAACCGTTTGTGCCACTGGGCCGGCCCCTAGTGTTCAGAATTCTTGTTTCACCCCCCAAATTTAAAATCTAATAACTTGTGTGTGTATACATAACATGCTGTAAGCTTCCCTACAGCAGATTTTTATACCTTTTACATAATAATAATCATACCTGCCATTTAATGAGTGCCTGTTTTGTGCCAGGAACGTTGAAGCAATTTACATGTCTTAATTCATTTAATTCTCACAAACCTATGTGGTAGTTACTCTTACCATCAACATTGCACAGGTGGTAAAGCAGGCACACACAGAGAGGTTAAGTAACTTGCCGAGGTCACACAACTGTGTTTTTGAAGTATCAAACCTTTTTAGCTATTAAAAAACGTGGATCACTGGTTGACCAGAAAAATCCTTTCGATGGAGGGCAATTTATAGTATGTAGAGTTTCTATTTATAGCATGTAGAATTGATGTGTTCAGAAAGGCAGCACAGCCTGTGTGTCCATCCTCAGTTGTAGCAGATGAATTCCAGTGATTCAATAGTCGCTGCAGAATTTGGTGTCTCTCCTTTGCCAAATTGAAGGTTTCTTTCTGACCACTTCATAAGGTGGTGTGATAGGATATCATGCAAACCAGAAGTCTTTTCTGAAGCAAAGCTATGAGAAGAGGGCATGGATTTTCATTTGGAAAGTTAAACTACCTAGAGAAATAAATTCAGATCCCAACAGATGTAGATCCTGGTGTGAAGAAATGCACGGCTGAAACACTCAACTGGGAAACATACCTAGTTACTGAGTGCTCTGTTCCTTATGGAATGGTTTAATTATTTTTATTTTCAGTGGGAGTAAATGGTAATAGTAAAGACATTTAATAAGCTACTTTATAATAATGAAATTTTCCTGCCCCTCTTAGAGAGGTCTTTTACTTTTTAGCTATTTTGCATAAATAAGGTCTTGTTTGTGGCATTTCAAGTTGACCCAGATAATCCCAGGCCACTGTGGGTCCCAGGCAGACCATAGTCCAACATGAAAGGATGAAGACCACAGTTCCACCCTATCCTCCCAGGCCCTGCCTACTCTGGCCCTGATGACCTCGTTCCTCAGCCCTCTTCCTTGCTCTCTATACTTGAGCCTCTCTGGCCACCTTTCTTTTTCCCTTGACAGCCCCAATGACTTCCTACACGACTGCGCAAAAGAATGAAGTAGATCTCTATGTGTGGCTCTGGAACATCAGTGCTTCATCAGAGGGCCTTTGCACAGACTGTCATCTCTGCCTAGACCCTTGTCCCTGCACCCACCCCTCACCCCTATACCTGGTAACTGCCACTCACCCCCAGATCTCAGCTCAAGGATCACTTCCTCAGAGAAACCTTCCCTGACCCCCTCTCTCCAGGTCAAGTCTCACTTGCTCTGTGCTCGTCTGGCGCTGGTGTCTCTTCTTCCTGATTCTCAGTGTAGTTTGTAATTATAGTTTATTTGTTTGACTGTTTGGTCAATGTCTTTCTTTCCCACTGGGCTATTATTCCATGAGGGCCGAGACCAGGTCGGTTTACGTGTCCTGCCTTTAGCAGTGTCTGTCTGAGCACTCGGTAAATCTGGGATAGCTGGATGGGTAGAAGGATAGATAAATAATGCAGGCAGAGGAAGGAGCAGGATAGCAAAACAAATGCTCTTTATTCTGTTTTCAAAAGTCTGTAATGACCTAACCCAATTTTTCAAACTGTCTTTATTGTGAGGAGGAAAAATAGCATTTTTATGTTATCTTTAAGGAGAGGATTCAAAAAAAGACTGGGTCATTGGGGTGGGACAGCAGATTGAGGAAAAGCAAACTACTTTTGTAGTTACTTTAACTTCTAAAAAGAACCTAAAAAAAGAAAATTAAAGGGAAATCCTCAGAGAGCTTTGAGACAGGAAAGGCACATAGCTGAATAAAGTATTGTTATTCATGTTGCTTTTTGAGATGAATTCAAAGAATTGTGGTATTGTTTTAGTTTCATTTCTGCTTTATAGGTCAACATTTGACTTTAAGACGTGGTTTAAATCTCTTCTCTGTTTTTCAGACCTCAGACTCTCAACTTAACTGCTGTCAATGAAGCTGTTCTAATAGAAAATCTGGAAATATTCAGAAAAAATGGCTTTGATTTTGTTATCGATGAAGGCGGTAAGTTATTACTTAGGACTGTAGAATTGTGTCCTTTTAGAGCTGAGAACAATCTTTGAGGTCATATTGATCAATATATTTTATAAGAGATGAAAACGGTTCCCCAAAAATGCATTTTGCACCTGCATTCTCTTTCAAATGTTCATTACAAGTAGCACGCAAATGAAATGCATTTTTCAAATCATGGATTTTTCTCCAAATTTTATTCTTTTAGCTCCAATCACTGAAAGGGCTAAATTGATTTCCTTGCCAACCAGTAAAAACTGGACCTTTGGACCTCAGGACATAGATGAACTGATCTTCATGCTGAGTGACAGCCCTGGGGTGATGTGCCGGCCTTCAAGAGTCAGGCAGATGTTTGCCTCCAGAGCCTGCCGAAAGTCTGTAAGTAGAGAAAGCTCGTCTGCCAGGACCTGGAGGGTCAGCCCCAGCTCATGGTCCACGGAAGTTCTCAGTTCAGCTCCTGACCAGTGAGCGCTGTTAAATGTGGCCAAGATTGCCCTAGGTCATTGTACAGATAGAGCCACATTGCCCTCTGCCATGATAACATGGAAGCTCAACACGTCTGCGTTATCTTTGACCTCTGACCCATAATTATTGCTCTTTCTCTGCTTTCGTTAAGCAGTATCTCAGCGCACTTAGCTATTTATGCACACTGTTCATTTATGGACCTTATGGGTTTTAACAACACTGGTAGATAAAGATCTGTTGCTGCCAGGCCTGAAGGACACTGCACAAGATTACACAGAGTCCCTCAGTCAGCAAGCATTTTGCAGGCTGCGCTGTGATGCACTGCGCATTATTTCACTGCCGCCGCTCAGACTGGTGTGGAAAATGGTAGCAGTGGTTGGTGATTAGCCTGATGTCAGAGTGAAGTAAGTGAATCTGTATCACCCGGCCTGTAGGCAAGGCCAGGATGCCACGCCTTCATTTATTCAACAGGTGTTCCTTGAGCCCCTGCTGTGTGGCTGTTCCAGGTGCTGGGGGCACAGAGGTAACAAGGCAGATGAGGTCCTTGCCCTCATGGGGCTTATAGTTTAGTGGGACAAAATAGATGTAAACAAAAATAATGACGACTTTGGATACCAGTAAGTTCAGTAAAGAAATTAAAACAGCATTGGGGTAGGGAGTGACCACAGAAAAATGAGGTGAAGAGCTGGGTGAGTGGTCAGGGAAAGGCTGTCTGAGAAGGGGACATCTGAGCTGACGCTTGGAAGTCGATATGGAGCCACTTGGGTAAGAACTTTCCAGATAGAAGAACGAGTGAGTGCAAAGACTCGAGGCGTCTGGTGAAGCCAGAGGCTGACCCGTGTGACTGGAGAGGGGACCAGGATGAGAGCAGAGCAGCGTCCAGGGGACCCACGTAGGGTCTTGCGGATCTTGGTCAGAACCTGGGAGTTTGTGCTGCATGTGTCGGGAGCCGCTGAGGGCTGTAACGGTGGAGAACAGACTTAGAGGGTCCCATAACGAAATAAGGGGGGCAGGGAAGAGTAGCAGCTTTTTACATTGGGGGTGGGAGGGATCAGAGTTCTGTTAAGTTTGAGATCCCATTAGACTGAGTGGAGGTGTCTGAAAACAGCTGTATTAATGAATCGCAAGCTCAGGAGAAATGTCAGTGCTAGAGAGAAGAGTTTTGGTGGACTTGACAGCCATGGGATTGGATGAAATTACTCATGGGAAGAGTTTAATTAGAGCAGAGAAAAAGGCCCAGGATCTGACTTCCAGCCACAGGTATTTCTTTGATAAAGACCTCGTATTGATCTTCCAATCCGGGACTCGGTGAGTGAGAGTTAGAGCTGGGACTGGCCTGTGTCAGTAGCCAGCCGTTTTAAAATTCTGTATCTTAATGTGACTCAAAGATCTTTGGAGCCCCAGGCTGCTCCTTCACTCCCCACCCTGGCAAGTCCACCATGCTGCAGCTCTTCATCCTCCAGTTAGCACACCCACTGACCGTTGTGGGCTTTCCTGAAGGTCCTGTGCTCTGGGCCCTGCCTGCCCCTCCAGCCCCATCTGCCTCGCTCCGCTCCGGACCACAGTCACACTGGTCTCCTTCTCACCTTGAGCCCTTTGTGCTTGCCGGTCTCTCTGCCTGGATCTCAGCCTCACACACCTGCTTCACATAGCTGCTCCCTCCCGTCTTCCGGCCCTGAGCACCCCACTGAAGTAGCCTCTCCCAGGCGATACTTGTTTCTCTTAACTTGTCTCTTGTCTGTCTTCCTCCAATGTGGCCGTGCCCTGCTGGACATCTCGCCTCTATAGGACTGCCTGGCGCGTGGAAGAAAGGTGACAGATAGGTTCAGGCTTGTCACCTCTCACCATCTCTCCCTGTTCCTCAGGGTCTCAGTTTCTCTGTGCTTGCTGTGGGGTCTGCTGACGTCCACGAGTATGTCAGATGGTGATATGTGCTGTGGAGAAAAAGCAGGGCGAGGGCTCTGGGGGGCTAGACAAGGAGTGCTATTTCATTGAGAGGAAGGGAGAGGGAAAGTGAGACGTGCAGACTTCTGGGGAAAGAGTGTCCCTGGCTGGGGGGATAGCCAGTACCAAGGTCCTGAGGAAGGTACTTGCTTTATGTACTTGCAAGAGAAGACAGGAGTCCCAGTGTGGCTGGGTGGGGGAGGGGGTGTGGGCACAGAGGCCAGTGAGGGCCAAGTCAAGTGATGCACTTGGGCTTTTATTCCTGAGAGGGGAGAGCTGTGAAGAGAAGCCACATGATCTGTCATACCTTTCAAAGGAATCTCTGGCTGCTTTGTGGAGAACAGGTTGAAGGGGACAGGGGGAGGCAGGGAGAGCTCTCAGGAGGCCGCTGCAGTGGCCGGGGTGGGAGTCAGGGCTGCTGGGATGGCGGTCGTGATGAAGCTGTGAGACTGTTGGATCCTGGACAGGTACAGTCAGGTCCCCAGTAGAGGTGTGCTGCTGTGAAGGAGCCAGGGGGGCCGGGTCTCACAAAAAGGTTGAGGGCTGAGATATTAGAAGGCAGCGTTCTTTGGGGGCAGATTTTTCAGGAACGTTGTTTTTGAGTTGTAATCTTGTCCAGTTTTGTTTAAGGGAAAAATGCTTCTGAAGTGTTGCTGTTCGAACCAAAAACCAGTAAGGCTTTCATTTAAACCGTTGTGTCTCATATTCAGGTGATGATTGGAACTGCTCTTAACACAAGTGAGATGAAGAAACTCATCACCCATATGGGTGAGATGGACCATCCCTGGAACTGCCCCCACGGAAGGCCGACCATGAGACACATTGCCAATCTGGATGTCATTTCTCAAACCTGACAACATTTCTCATTATATAGAACTATAGATTTTATTGCAGATTTTTCTGTTTTGAAAGACATGGTTTTAACCTTTTTTTTTGGTTTCAAAGTTAACCTGCTACTTAAAAAAAGTACTAGATCCATTTAGAAATGATCTTGAGAACCTTTTTAAACCATGTGGAGCATTGCTTGAAAATTTTTTGTTCTGCATTTGAATGTGTGCACGCATGTGCGTGTGTACAGGCAAGAGCATGTTTTACAAAAATGGAGAGAGCACTTTGGAAGTGACCCAGGCCTCTGCTCTGGCTGGACATGTTTTAGGCTGCAACTCTCAGCCCTTAATGATGATTAAATTCTTAATGGTTTCATTTCATAAATTTAAAATTATGGCCCTTTTGGGTTAGTGGTTCTCAACCCTGATGCTTGTGAAATTTAAAAAAAGGAATAATCTGGAAAACCCCAGGGGGATTCTCTGCCTGGCTGGAAGAAAACTGGGTGGGGCTGGGGTCACTATTTTTAGATGTCCCCCAGGACTGTCAGAGTGGCAAAGCACTGCTGTAGGCAAGGGGAAATAAAAGATTTTGATTTTTTTGTAACGTTAATGCTGTGATGTGGTTTCTTTGGGGTGGGGACTGCAGGACTTTCTCGTTACTGTTCCTGAATGGTACTGAAGAGAGAACCTCTGTCTGTTGTCAAATAGTTTTTCATGGAATCTCGTCCCATTTGAACTCTGCCAGAAATGGAAGTAAAAATCCCCTCTGTGGAGTTCAAAGGGCAGTTGATGTACATCGACCAGTGTGGACCACCCACCTCCTCTCGCCCTCCCTGCTGGGACCGTGGGCCTGTGGGAGATGGGGCTTCCATTTGCAACTTAGAATTCCTTAGATGTAACGATTCAATCAAATAATAATTATTGCCATTTGTGTCAAGCACTATGCTGGTGTGCCTGTCTGTAGGATTTCATTTGATATTCACAAGAACTGCAAGTTGCGAATTGTGGTAGGAAGCCCCCCAAAGATGGTGGTGTCCTAATCCCAGAACCCTTGGATATGTCACCTAAATGGCCAAGGGGGCTCTGCAGATGTGATTAAGGGGAGAGTGGTGAAATGGCCAGATATCCTGGATTGGCCGGGTGGGCCCAGTCTATCCCATGACTTCTTAAATGTGGGGAACCTTTCCCAGCTGGGCCAGAGAGGTGCAACCTTGCTGATTTAGAAGATGGAGGAAGGCAGCCTCCAGAAGCTGGAAGAGGCAGGAGATGGATTCTGCCCTGGAGACTCCAGAAGGAACCAGCTCTGTTAGACTCCTAATTTACAGAACCACAGATGATAAGTTTGTGGTAATTGTTTACGGCAGCGATGGAAAACTAAAGCCTGAATTATTCCCGTTTTGGTGAAGTAAAGGCTGAGAGAGACCACGCGGCAATGAACAGAGCTGGGAAAGCCCAGGTCAGGGGCATCCGGCTCCAGATTTCCACGTAGCCTTGTAGACCAGAAGGGCAGAGCACTGATGCTCAGCGGGCTTCTCGGATGCGCGCGGCGGTCCCTTTAAGGGTGGGCGGGGAGGGGCGTGGCCCGCGGTTGCCTGGAGACCGGCCGGACGCGCAGCCGGCCGGGCGCCACCTCCGCCCCCGCCCGGCTGAGCCGGCCGGGAGCTCGAGTGACGTGGGGGCCCCACGCCCCAGGTCGGTGGTCCTGCGTGCGCCGCCACGGACGTGACGGCCAGGCCGGCTCTTCCTCTGGCGAGCGGCCGCGGCCTCCTAGGACTCGAGCAGGTGCGGGGTGGGCGAGGAGGTCCTTAGGAAGGGGCGGAAAGCGTGGGGCTCCCCGGGCCAGAGAATGCGCGCCCCTTTATGCTGCGTAAGGAAAGAATAAACAGTCACAATAATAATAATGCGGTCTCAAGCCAGGGAGAACAGAAAAAACACAAAAGTTAATGGGAAACCCGCCAGGAGAAACGAAGTTTGCCTGATTTGTAGTTCAGATTTCACGGATAGAGGATCAGAAAGCCTAGAGGAAAGGCCCGCCCGAGTTTAGAGGCAAGAGCAGCTGGGGGGCGGGGGCTGAACAGAGTAATGGATTTTGAAGCAAGAGAGAAGCAGGACCATGTTGGTGAGAGCAAAGCCGAGAGGTGGGGTGGGGCTGGCGGGTGGGGTGTCCAGAGGATGCCATCCAGGCAGAGCAGGGCGGGGGTGCCCACTGTGCCCTCGGGGCACGCGAAGAGGTACTTGCCTTGCCTTCCACTCCAGGACTTATCTGTGCGTCCTGCTTGATGGACTGGGATGCTTTAAGTGGGGCTAATTTTTGGAGGGCCAAGAAGACTATGGCTTTGGAACCCTGCCCTTCAGCTCTGTGACCTCGGACAAATGATTAGCACACCCTTTCTTGTCTGCACAAGGAGGCAGTCAGTCAGGGGTAGTACTGACATAGGGAGTAGGCAGCCAGTGATTTCAAATTGGAAAACAGGAAAGTAACATAAAATAATCACTCCATTATTGATTGTGCACCGTGTCCCCTGCTTTAGGGATTTTGTGCATCATCTCATTTAATCCTTATAATGAGACGAGGTACTATTATTCCTATGTCATATCTGAAGCAGAAAGAGATTAACTTGCTCAAGAACACGCAGCTGGTAAGGAGCAATGCAAGAGCCTGAATCCAGCTCTTGAGGACTTTTTCATGTACAGGATTACCCCTCTCACTGGAACACTATTTAAAAAGAAATGGTAGATGGTGTTCCAATTAGAAAAAATTTAGGAACAACCAATGCCATATTGAGATTGTATTATTTTTATAAAATTGGTGGCACTTGATACTTGTAATTAATTTTTCAAGCATTAGGAGGAGAATGATAATGACATAGTGTTGTAAAGCTAAAAGTTTAACTACAGGTGAAACCTCCAAGTATTGAGAGACATAATTTTTATTTTTCAGATAAAACTCTTCAGTGCTTTGAAACAAACAGCTCTCAACCAAAGGAATCATTTGATACTGACATACACAAAGTAAACTTTAGGTTTTGTAAAGACAATGGTGAAAGAAAAGAAAAGAGCAGACAAAAAAGGGGATAAGTCTGCCCGCTCTTCTTCTGATTATCTAGAGTTTTCCAAACAAGATGGCAACGCTGCTAGACAAGAAACGTCCCCCAGTGCTGTCCCACTGTTGGAAATGCAGCTCAATGAACAGGGACCGAAAAAAGAGCCTGAACTTCAGCAGAATGAAGATGCCACTCAATATGAGGAGCCCATTCTGACCAAACTCATAGTTGAAAGGTGATTTTTTTAAGTTGAGGTCATAATAGTTTATAACATTGTGAAATTTCAGTTGTACGTTATTATTTGTCAGTCACCAAATAAATGTGCCCCTTCACCCCTTGTGCCCACCCCCCAA